GTTCAACATTTTGATCAAGAAGAACACGTTTCTCTTTGATGATGATGAAGAGGAAAAAATGTATTTTCTCAGTGAGAAGATGATATTCGCTAATTACAAGAGAATGAGAATCATCATGACTTCATATCTCAAAGCATGTGATTTGTGGGATATTGTTGGAGATCGAAGAGCTAAAGAATAGAATGTCCAACAAGTTTTATGTGAAGAAAGAATATAAGGCATTTATAGTGTTGCGAAAGGCAATACATCAAAAAAATTGGGAGTATTTTGGAGAGTCCAAAACTCCAAGTTGTGTTTGGAAGATACTCGATGCCATCACTTCCAATCATAGAGGTAAGTCACTACCCATAGAGTATTGGGTACAATGCTTCGAGTATGATGAGTTTACGAAGAATGACTATGAAATTCTTAAGGAGATATTTGTGGAGAATGAAAGGCGTATAATGCAAATGAAGTTGAAGAATTTGAAGCACAACTTGAAATAGTGAATGAGGAAGAGGTAAATAAAGGTCTTGAAGAAGATATTGAAAAAGTGGAGAATAATGAAGTTAAATGAGAAGATAAAAAAGAAGAAAGTGGTAAATAAGTGGCACAAGTTAAAGTTGGTGAGTTAACAATTTCAGGTATGGTTACAAAATCCACCTTCAAAGAAACTATATTTGACTTTATTTGATGACATTATGATTTCTTCATATTCATCTCAATTGAAAAAAGAAATTAATGATTATGATAAAAGTGCTCATGTTGTGAAGAATTATGATCTTGTCTTAAAGAAAGTTGTTTCAATCAATTGTAACATTGAAACTCAAGGTGATAAGCATTTCTCGAATTGTTTTTTGCAAAATAGTTTGGAGAATTTTGCAATTGACACAGGTTGGGTGAATATGGAGTTATTTTTTAATTCCAAAATACAAGCACGTGTGAAGTTCAAGAAGTATCGAAATTTCGAGAAGAAAGAAAATTGGTGTGCTTGTGTGAAGAAGATAAAGATCGATCATGAGAATGCATTATTCAAGCATTTGAAGAAGTTTCACAAGCCTTACACATCAATGGAAGTGGCCAAGAATATTTTAGCTATTGAATGAGGTAGAACTCAAGAGTCAAGACCAACTAACGAACTTTTGATCAAGCCCTCAAGGTCAATAAGAAGTTTAGTTTTCAAGTTACAAAACCAAGTTCAAAGGGGGTTGCTAAAAAATAAACTTGATTTTAATATTTAATTAGTTATTTCAAGTATTTGTCTTACATAGCATATGTGGGCATTTAACATGTTAGTAGAAAGTAAATTGTCTAGGAGGGAGTTAGTGTGATGTTGAAGATATATTATGTAAAATCAAGAGTCGTGAGAGTTAAGCCTACTAAATACTATGTTAGTGGGAGTTATGCCTATTAAAGATTATGTTAATGGGAGAAATGAGAGTTATGGGCATTTACATATGTAATTGATAGATATATGTTTTTAAGGCCTATATAATCATGTACTCTACCCAATGTTATATATGATGAAAGAGAGAATAAGATGAAATAGTATGAGTGGAATATAATATATTTCTATGTGTTCGTTTCCTCAACTCTATAGTGTTGTGTGTGTCTCTAGCTCAGCCACTCATTTTCAACAAAGTGGTATCAGAGAAAAAACCAACACTCTCCCTTAGCCTTTTGTACACATATATAAAACTTTATACGTGTAACATAAGTGTACATAGTTGATGTGATATATGCACTTTATAAAGGCGGAGAGAGGACCCGTTTCCATTGTAATCCTAATTTTTACTTTCGATCAAAGTAGAAACAAAAAAAATAATACTTCCCCAATAATTAAATACCAATATGATCATTATCATAATAATAAAGTTGACCAAATCGTATAATATCAATCTAATATCTATTTACTTAGCCACTAAGTAATGAATATATCATATGTCCAAATCATGTGGAACACAAATAAGAAAATATCTCGCATGTTCTCTGTTTATGCCAAAACTGTTAGTTGAATTTGGCAGAAGGCAATGGAAATTTTTTCAAATGGATTAGCAATTGATGTTTCCAACAAAAAGCCGAACATAATTGGTTACAAACAAGTACAAGTTGATCTCAATAAGGTATCCAAAATTCCTCTCTGACAACGTACAAACAATTAATCTTTATAATTTATTATACAAGTTGTTAAATCTACGTTAGATAGAATAATTAATGATGGTTTTATTATACCACATTCAAATGCCTTGAAGCCATATTTAACTAAAGAGAATACGAAAGCAAGATGGTTGTTTTGTTTGTCAATGCTTGAGTAGTGTAGTCTTCACAGCAGTTCAAAGTTCTACAATATGCATAATTATGTTCACATTGATAAAACTGGTTCTATATAAGAGTCAGGGAAATATTATCTCATTCCTGAAGAAAATGAACGTACGTAATTGCAAAAGCAAAAGCTTCATTACAAATATTATGTTTCTCGCCGCATTTGCTAGGCTACGATTCGATATTTTTCACCATGAAGTTTTATCTGGAAATAGTGGAATTTATCCATTTATGTGCAAAGTTCCTCCCAAACGAAGTAGCAAAAATCGCATGGCTGGTACATTAGAGAGAAAACCGATGTTGTCGATAATTAAAGATATTGTTCGATCATATTTAATTGAGAAAGTTTTATCGGCGATTTGAGCTAAATGACCTTGTGGTGGTATAATGAAAACCATTTATATTCAATGAGATAATGCAAAACCACACATAGATCCATTGGATGAAAAATTCCTAGAAGCTGTGACTAAAGATGGGTTTGATATAGGGTTAACATTCCAACCTCCTAACAGTCCATATTTGAATGTTCTTAATCTTGGATACTATATAGTAATCCAATCGCTTCAATACTAGTGAGCTCTCACTACAGTTGATGAGTTGGTGGATGCGGGGAAAAAATCTTTCAATGAATTATCGTCTAAAAATCTTGATAATATTTTCTTAACGTTGCAGGGGTGGATGATTGATACAATGAAGGTGTATCGGGCAAACAACTACAAATTGTCACATATGAGAAAAAATCAATTGAGGAACCATATTAATCTTCCTTCTTTACTGTGGCATGATGTGGTTGAAAATGCTCTTTGTCACTTAAGACAGTGATCGTCTTTTTTGTGATAGCAATGTGTGTCACACCTCGAATTTAGAGACGTGATAAGAGAAAATAAAATAAAATAATAAAAAATAAAACTTACTAAACTCTTATAGCATTAAAAATAAATAATTTTTAACAATGTTAACTCTTCAAGATTTAAAGTAGACAAAGATATGACAAAACTTATCTGTATTCTAAAAGGATAAGAAATTTGATTGCACTCCCACCCCATGTCAGAAATTTGATCCAAACAAGCCTTTAAAAGTTGAGAAAAGACGAGATTGCCCTTCAATACAATATTCATTTTTAATCTAAAATATCAAAAAATTTTAAATGACAGAACTACCCTTATTAATAATAGGTTTCTCTCTACCCACTCCTCCGAAAACTTGAAATTTTCTACCCCTCTATATCTACCTTCTCACCTTCATGAGAAACCCACCATTACCACTACAACCTCCATATTACCACCACCGGTCCGCCACCCAGCATTGCCACCGCAATATAAACCACATATTTGCTTTTTTACTTTCCATAAATAAATTAAACTGGGTTCAATCAAACATGTATATATATTATACACAAACCACAACAAAGCCATCTTCATCAAGCTCTTCAACAATCCTCCTGTACTGGTACACAATCACATCCAATTCCCACTCTTCTACGATCATCCTCACATCCTCCCCTACTCACTCTTAGCCCACCCATCACATCTCGTAGCCTTTTACCCTAATTAGAATACACGCATTGGCGATGAGGTCACATAAGATGTTAGGGTAAATTGGGGGTTCTAGGTACACAACCATAGCAATCAGACAAATCATTGTCCGTCCTCGTCCGAGCAAGGTTATGGAGTGGTGGTGGGGCTGTGTGATAAGGGTGTGAAGTGGTGGTGGTGGTGGTGGTGGGGTTATGTGATGGGGGTGTGAAGTGGTGGTGGGACTGTGAAGTGGTGGTACGGCGGGGGTGTGGTAGGACTATGAAGGTGAGAGGGTAGGGAGAAAGGCATTTGTGGAGGTTGTAATGGTGGGTGGCGGTATGTTCTGGTGGTGTGTTGCCAGTGGAGGTGGCAACCACCCACTTCTTCTTTCCCTTCTCTTCTCCTATTCTCTCGCTTTCTATATGTGTGTGTGTGTGTGTGTATATATATATATATATATATTTTTTTTTTTTGGCAGGGATGAAACGTTAGTTTGGTTAATTAAAATTAATTAGAAGGCTAAATCGGTAATTTCAAAGGTTTAATTGACAAGTCAAAGGGCATTATAATCATTTTATCATTTGTTAGAGTACTTAGGGTGTCCTTGTCAAATGAAGCAAATTTGAGGGGTGTCATTGTTTAAAAATGAATCAACTTTCATTTTGCTGTGAATGTAATTAATCCAAACTACAATGACCCAAGTCATACAATTATGTTAAACTTATGCCGTTTTTTTCCTTTTAAGTTCCCATTTCGTGCGCGCCTTTGCTTTCAGCCACGTGCTTTGCTTTTACGGTATCGCTTGGACAATCATGCTTCGTTTGGTTGGAGGGATGGAAAAATAGATGGAAGGGAAAGGGAAAAGGATGAATGATGCATCTCTAGGGAAATGAAGGCGTCTCTTTCACTTTTTGTTTGGTTAAATAGAATGAATAGTAGAAATTATGGATGGAGTGACACATTTTTTTTGTTTGGTTGGAAAGAAAGGAAGCAGAGTTTTTATATTCTTTTTACTAATATGCCCTCTGTATTTAAAAATTCTATATCTATTCCAAATTTTTAGGAAAATTAGAAATAAAAAATCGATATTTGTGTCGGATATTATTTCTTTCTCTCTCTCCCTTTTCCCTTCCCCTAACCAAATACGAAAAAGTTAATTTATCCTCCCCTTTCCCCCCAATCCATCCCACCTCAATCATTCCCTTTAACCAAACATAGCATCAGTCCCACCCCTGTGCTGTTTGACTAATGACATTGAGGAGCAAAGTGAAAAACGAGAAGTGTCCGAGAACGCACGTGCCAACAGAGTAGAATACAGCAACTAAACGAAGATCAATTGCGCTGACTGAAGACTCTTTCCTCGCTCGCATTCACAACTCCATATACAATCAATATACTTATAATCTCATTTCTTTGATTCAGAATCGAATTGGAATATCCTCAACAAAACCCTAGATCTGATCATTTCTGATTTGATTGATCTGTCGCTGATATTTTCGGTTGGATCGTTTGTTGCTCAGAATTTGGGTCCACTGGATCGGAGAGATGCCGGTGGCTGCTTCCGCTATTTACTTCTTGAATCTCCGTGGCGATGTCCTCATCAATCGCCTCTATCGCGATGACGTTGGGTCAGTTCTCTCTCTACTTAAGTTGCATATAATAAAAGTAACACTTTTTGAATATACACACACACACACACACATTGATGTGTCTGGGTTTTGGTCTGGTGAAAATTAATCAATAGAATATTGAAATATTGTACGTGAATGTTACATATCATAAGATAGTTGAGTTTTTATGGTTTAAATGTATGAATATTGAGTGTTGATTCGGAATTGACGTTGAAAGAATGTGGTGAACAATGTGAAATTTTGCACTGAGAGTTTCGAATTGAAGCCAAGCGTTTGATTCTCATTTTTGTTTTGATTCCTTCCTATTAGAGATTGGGAATGGAGACCTCAACGAGATAAAAATTTAGTGGTATGTTAAATCAGAACAGCTGAATTTTGCTTTCTTGTAGTAGGTACAGACACTGGGACAGCTCCTAAACATTCTTGTTCTTACCTAAGGTGGTGAACTGTCCTTTAGGCTGGAATGACAGTAGTTTTTGGGTTATTATTAAAAAATTATTATTAAAAGGAAGTTTCTGCTTTGTTAGATTTTCAGTGCAATGAGGTGAAAAAATACTTGAGCTTTACTGCTATGGTTATTGTTTGAGCCATTGGGCATCTGCAACTTCGGAACCTTTCTCGGGTTACTATCCAGTATTTGTTCCGGAAAATGATGACTCAATGAGACTCTATATAAGTCAACAAACAGAAAAGTTGATTAAACATATATTTTGTCATGTTCCCAAATATAAAGAAGGGGAAGGAAGGAAGTAGATTAACAAGGATTTCCAGTTACACTTATACCCCATTGTATATTCTTTCCCCACTTGATATTTTTGGGTCCAAAAGAAATAAAGTAATTGGCTTAGTCTTTCGTTTCTTCATTCTCAACTGCCCCACATCCATTGTCCTCAACGAGTTTGAAGGATTAAAAGGGATTGATGATCTTTAAAAAAAATAATATTTGAAACCAAAAAAGACAAGGCTTATTTATTAGCGTATTTGCTTGTGACATTGACATTAATCCTACCAGTTGCAACTGTTATTGTAGAGAGGACATTTTCAGATTTCTCTGCAATGATATGTGAAGAATCAATTGTGCAATTGAATGAGAGAACAACGGATGTGTGATAGTTTGATTGTATATGTTGAAAAAGAGATATTTGGTTGCGCATGTAATGAAGCTATCATTCGGCGTTCACGAAAACTTGTCGAGGATAATTGTAAATTACTCAATGAAAACATCAATTGATGTTAACTTTTGTTTATTATGATAGTTTGAAAATTTTGTGCCTTCTTTTTGTTTAAGGTTGCTCCCCCCTCCTGCGTATAATTTTATGGCTCTGTCTGTCACGGCTATGCATTGATGATTTTTATTATTTGCTATGTTTTGAATTTAAATTTCTGTTAAGTCAGTTTTAGTTTGTTAAAACCAGTAAGTCACCCTAACAGACCTATTCATCCCCCTCTAGGTTTAGATCACGAATCCTGCAACAGACCTATGCATTTGTTGAAATAGATTTTCATCAGGCTCACTGGCCTTCGACCTTCTTATAAGGCTGCTTGTTTGAGTGACCAATCCATTACATATTGAACTTCTTAATTTGTTTCCAAACTGGTTCATTCAAATACCTAGGTTATGCATGGGCCGAGTAATCTAATGGTTAACCAACCTAAATATTGTGACCTCTAGGTCACTTGTTTAAAGCTGTATGGTCAACGCAGTTTGAAGAAATCATCTTGAGATTTTAACTTAGCCTTCAATCTCCAATCACATCTTTGATATCAATGATAAGCCTTCATAGAATATGCTAATACATTATTGCAATGTCCTATAAAAAATAGTTGGGACTCCTTCACAGCACAGGTGATTTATCATTTTTTATCTCTTCTTTTCTTTTTTGAAGAAAAAGGACAGATGAAGGAGTGAGGGGGAGGGGGGTGGGTGGGTTGATTACTCTTCAGATACTTATCATTTTTTTATGTTACTGGAGTTACCTACATATAATTTGGCTCTCTAGTATAAATTTTTTTAATTGGTTGTGATTGTTTTGTCTTAAAATTATTCCTATTCAGACATGCCTAAGGACACATTGCCTACCTATCAAGTGGCTCTAAATAAATGCCTATGCTTACTTTAAGTCATAATTAAATATGTGTTGAGTGTCACTACTTGCTGTCTTCTTGTTAATTCCATCCTGCATGCTTTGTCTTATCCGCCTTGCTTATTCGTTTTGGTATTTTGATGGCTGCATTTTTTATGATAGGAAATTCATTTTACCGTTATCGTCAAATTTTGAATTTGTTTTTATTGAATCATTTGTTCAGGGGAAATATGGTGGATGCCTTCCGAATGCATATAATGCAAACGAAAGAACTTGGTACATGTCCTGTGCGTCAGATTGGAGGTTGCTCTTTCTTCTACATGAGAATAAGCAATGTCTACATTGTGATTGTTGTTAGCAGCAATGCCAACGTAGCTTGTGCATTCAAGTTTGTTGTTGAGGTAGTCAAGTATACTTGCTGCTGAAGCTTCTTAACGGGTTTGGTTTTACCCATTTTGAATCAGGAACCTGTATATTGAGCATGATATTACTGTTACTTTTACTTGTTACTATAATAGATGTTGAACACTTACTAGATTATCAGCATTTTGCAGATATAAGATTATTGCAATTTGAATTCTTGGTAGTCTGCTATTCAGGTCAGCCACCATTTTGAGTACATGGTGTGCTCTTCGATCTTCTCTGCTATTCATGCTTGTTTGCTCATCATATACCTTCAAATACATCTTAACTGCCTATTATCTATATTCTTCCTCCTTTCTTTGCTTGTCTTATATCATTATTAACAAAAAAAAAAGAAAAAAGAGAGAGGGTAAATTCCACCTACACCCTCTGACGTTTGACAATATTCCACTTACACCCCCTCTACGTTTCATAATTCCACCTACCTCCCCTAGCAGTTACCTCCGTCCACTTTACTAACGGAAATGTGTGATTTTACGGTATTGCCCATGAATTTTATATTGATATTTATAAAAAGATGTACTGAGTCTAAAAAGACGGAACTACCCTTAAGTCATCCAAGCACACCCCCAAATACGATATCTTGAGTCAAGAGCAGTGATGAGGATAACAACTCTGACGTGGCGAAGGATCTGCTCTTACCGAGGAGAAGCGGGTCTGAACGGGTGAGCACGCAAGACTCTTCTTACCGGCGGCAAAGAGGACGGCGACGCTGAACTTACCGGCGAGGACAGCTATGAAGAAGCGAGCAAGGCGGATTGAACAGCGTTGAGCAGGAATGAACAGAACCAGCAGTGAGCACGGATAAATAGAACGGCGGATGGCGGTGAAGTGTGAGAGGGGGGAAGAGACAATGAGACAGAGAGAAACGCCGGCGCCAGATTCTATTGGTTTGACATTGGCAAGATCGCTGAGCTCTGCCGACGATTGTTCTTGAATGGCCAGATCCAGCCGATGAAGTTCTTGATGCACCTGGCAGCGGCTTAGAGAGAGAGAGAGAGATAAGAGGGAAGAGAGAATGGGCCAGAGGGGTTGGATTGTAGGTCGACTTGGATGGCGAAGCATGCCGGTGACCGGAGAAGACTCTTTTCAGTCCGTCATCGCCTCCATCTTCTTCGGTCAGACCGTTACCGTCATGTGCGTTGGGTACCTGCTGTCTACTCTCTTCTTTTTCCTCTTTCTTCCCTGTATCTGGGTATCGTAACTAATGTTCTGATCAAATGGCTTCCTAGTTCTATAAGGTGGTCCCTTTTTGGCCTTTTGGCCAAGAAGAGCTTTTGAAGTGAATGAATAACCCCACTTTTGAGTTCTGACATTTTTGCTTCAGAAATTTTGATTCAGAAGTATGGTTCATTTATGGTATTCTTATATTGTTATGTATTAGAAATTAATGCAAAATTGCACACTTGAAAGGTTAGCTTTGCAATCTGATTTTTGGCCCATTATGAACAACTTACCCATATACCAATTATTCAACTATGGATTTGCTATATAGCTTATATGCTACCACTTACATTTTTGTTATACCCGTCTTTAAATCAGTCCTAGTTTCATCTGTCAATATAATTTAGGTGAGCTAAATGCTTATGACACATGAATATATAATTATGACATTTCATCATTTTTTGTGTATTACCTTTCGTAAATATATTTTCTTTTTGCACAGATTTATCTTATTCCTGTTAAAAAACTTGATGAACGAAAAACACCATGCAAGATTGAAGTAGTTCCACATTCCTTGATATTCCTATTGTAGGTTCTGGGTTTTTGAGAGGCAGGTCATTTTGGTACATTTGTATTAATAAGTCAAGGATAGATAGGTAATTGTATATTGGTCAATGAGGTTAAATATGTCATTTCAGATATTACAAGGGCAAAATTGACCTTCTTTTATTTTTTCCTGATACATAACTTTTAATTTTTTCCTGTTGACATTAGCAAAATCCGTCAGCCCCTTAAAGGTAAGGGGGAATCTGCTACCTAAACCAAAACCTCAGGGGAGGTAGGTGAAATTATGAAACGTAGAGGGGGTGTAAGTGAAATATTGCCAAACGTCAGGGGGTGTAGGTGGAATTTACCCAAAAAAAATATAGGACAGACTTTCCCCAACATACGAGTTTCTTTTATTTGTATATTCTCTATTAAGATGAGGGAGCATATGTTAGTTGGCAGATCTTGGGAACATGATATAGAAGTAGCAAGTGGAAGACATAATCTCCCTTCTGGTAAGTTGACTTATAAGGCTATTGTTTCCCAGAACAAATAGCAAAATTGGTATAACCACTTCCTTAGAAGGGAGTCAGATAGGTCTTGAGAAAGAATTGAAGAAGAGCCAGTACCGAATACCATTTTTCCTGGTTTAAACCAGGAAGTTGTTGATGCAAGGGAGTGAGATTGGTTAGAAAGACTGTAAAAGGAAGGGGTTTCAGTGTTGCTAAAGAAGTAAATTAGTCATAATGCGCTCAGCCGGGATGAAATGTTGTTGGCTTTCTACCAAGATGCTTATATGTTTGTAGGAAGATTTGATGAGAGTTCTGGAAGTGCATTTTTATGGTGCTGTTTCAAGATAGTTTAATTTTAATTTTAGTTTCTCTTTTGGATATTACAGGTTTTACCCTATTTGACTATTTGATGGGTTTATATGATCATTGCATAGGTTACGGACCTTCGCTATGTACCTTAAGGTACATGATGAAGGTGATGGTAAAGTGTCTTGCAACCAGCATGTTTTATCTTTCTCCTGTGTTTTATTGTGTTGGTGGTGGTTCGGGGGATTTGTGAGTACAAATGTGGAAGGCTTATGATTGTTTAATTGGGAATCATTCCTATTTCTTCTGGAAATTAACTTGGATTAAGTGGAGGGGGTGGACACTGCATGTCTTTTGTTCTTTTCCTTGGCTTTGTTGCCCTTACGACTTTCCGGGAGTTTGGGGGGTTTTAGGCCAGGAGATGCCTTATGTCCTTCCCTTTCTATCATTCTGATAGTAACATGAAATAAATTTGTTCCAAAATTTTATGCTGGAGATTTATTTGAAGTTTAGGGGTTGAAGGAGTTGGGGAGAGAGTTAGGATTGCTTATTTTCTCTATGCTGCTGGCTGTATGACTTTTATAAGTACTAAAGGGGAAGCAAACTTGGTTTCTAAGAGGTCTTCCTGTTTAATTTGAAGTGGTATTGGGCTTGAAGATGAATTTTGATTTATTGGGGAGTAACATGTTTCTGAATAAGATGGTGACCTTTATTTGAAGCAATATCTTGTTCACGAACTCATTTTCTCTCTTGTTGTGGTATTTTGGTCTTCAGTTCTGTGAGACAAAGGAAGTTTTATTTAAAGAGGTTCTTTCTTTCGTTCGGTATGGAGGAGGATCTACTTATAATACTCTGTGTCATAATTCTATTTGGTTTCTAATGGAGTTACTGCATCAGGTGTTGGTTTTGAATTATTCTTTCATGAATCAAGTTTTTTCTGCAATTGGTGTTCTGAAATTGTAAAAGAAGTGTTTAAAGAGAAAATATTAGTGGTGGAATATGGTTACATAGGGTAGAGTGGCAGATTTGGGATGTTAGTTGGAGCCATTTTGAATGGGAATGATTTTATTTCCTATGTCATAAGTTAAAGTTTAAGGTTGGAAACGGCTAGTAGGCGAAGTTTCCGAAGGTTTTTTGTGTGAGGATATCTCTCCATAGGAGGAATACCCTAAGATTTTTTGTGGTTGTAGTGGATTTAGAAGGTTTTTTAAGGACTCTTGTCTATAGTTATTATGATTTGGAGTTAAAAATGTGCTTTATCTCTATTCAGAGGATTTATTTGGTAGAGATTGTTAGACATGGCAGAGATGCATTTTCTGGGATAAAAATGGAAATGATCAATTTCCTACTGAATTGTTCTATGAGAAGTTGGCTAATGTGTGGCATAATGTTTTCCTGGGAGGAGTGTCTATGTTCCTCTATTTAAACAGTGGCGTGATATATTTGACAAATCATGATAGATCAAAGCACATCAGATTCAGAGTCGGGATGGCAGGGGAATTCAGTTCTGGGAAGATATTTGGTGTGGGGAGCGATCCTTGGCTTGCAATTACCCCAGAGTCCCAGACATTGTAGGATTGCCATGGATAGAAACGCCTTGGTGGCTGACTGTTATCGGCTTGATAGTGGAAGGGCAACTTGGCACGTTGGATTTTCGAGGCATTTCACGATTGGGTGGTGGAGGATGCGATTGGGTTCTTGGAGTTATTGTGTCGTTGTTGGATATGGCTTTGACTCCCGTGTATGGATCCTTCAACGCGCAGGCACTTCTTTGTAGGCTCTCTTTACATGTGCCTCACGGATGCCCTAGGGGCATCCCAGCCCATGGAGGGTCGTTTGGCGTTCCAAGACCTCCCTCACGGTGGCTTTTTTTGCATGGACGGTTGCCCTGGGAAAGAGTCCAACTATGGGTAACCTGAGAAAGAAGAGACAAATTGTTGTCAATGGGTGTTACATGTGCAAGAGAGATGAGGAGGCGGTTAATCATCTTCTTGTGCACTGTCCTATGGCTTGGATTGTTGGGACTTAGTGCTGGGTTTGTTTGGGGTGGCATGGGTTATGCTAGGTCCTCTAGGGGTTTGATTGAGGCTTGGAGAGGTTTTGCAGTGGATGCTCAAGCCCGTGACTTTTGGAGGGTAACTCCTCTGTGTGTGTAGGTGGTGTTTATGGACAGAAAGGAATAGGAGATCCTTTAATGGCAAGGAGAATCCTATTGGGGCACTAAAGTTCTCTATTATTTCTTCACCTTTTTGTTGGGTTTTGGGGAGAAATTGTAAATCAATGGGGGAAATAGTTGGTTTTTTGGACTCTTTGAGAGTTTAGAGGCTTTTTGGACTTGTGTTGCTTTTATGGGATGCGTTCCCAGTTTGAACGCTTTCTAATAGAAATCTTACTTATCCAAAGAAATTAAAAAAATTGTGTTGGTGGATTGCAGTTTGAAGAGTAAATGGGATTCAATCTCTTAAAATATAGTGGAGATATAATATATATAGTGATATATTTGATGCTATATCATCAATCATATACCATTGTATTTATTGTATGAACTTCTGTTTATTTCACAGATTCATTTAAGATTTTTTTGAAAATTCTGTTGAATATTGCATATAATATCTTGTGGTACTTTATTTTTTTCAATGCCCTCTACCCTGTGCACCTGCAACCCTTCTATACTTTGCTATAATATTATATATTTATACATATACATATATATATATATATATATATATATATATATATATTTGAAAATTATGGATATTGATAACAATTGCTATATATCAGCTGACATATTGGTGTTTTCAAGACTTACATGTCTGTATTCATTTTATTCCATGGTTAACAAAGGCGTTTTTTCACACTCGGACACAGTGAAAGAAATTGGCTCTATGGTTATCATTTAATTGACAATGTTGGTTTATTCCTGAGAGAAGCATTGTTTGGAAGGAGGTGATAGATTTCACACCTTACTTGATTTTGCATTGTAATGTGGTGTGTGGATTCTGGGGTTCTTGTTTCCTCCTTTGTTGTATGTTGGTTGATGTATAAGTCCACCTATTGACCGGTCCTTTACAAGGGTCGCGATACCAAGTCAAGCTTGAAGAGTTGTGAATTTAGGAGTGGCCAAGTTTTACATTTATAGAAAGCCACTACTACCTTTCTCTATATAAAATATAGATAGGGCGAGTAGGGATCGTCCCAAGGGATTTGATGGTGTATCGAATTGTGAAACTATGGTAATTAGGGTTAGTAGGTCGAGTGATCACACAATTGATTGGTTGGTTGATTATACTAAATGAGCTAAACTATAATAAAGCAATGCAATAAGATAAAGAGTAAGTAAGAAGGAAAGGTCTTGGGGTGTAGAGATCACCACCAAACAGTACTATTCCAAACCATAATCAAGTGACTAATGAGAGAAATGAATGTGTTGCAACAATGTTGTGTGTGTAAAAGACATTCAATTGGTAAGGGTGACTCAACAAGTGCAAATTGTCTCAATCAACATGTGTGAGGCCACAATATATCTATTGGTAGAGGAATATATTGTCTAAACATCATGTGAAGATAACAAAATAACAATTCAAGTCATTGAACCTTTCATTAAGCTCATAGTCCAAGCAATCCATAAGGATGATTTAGTTAAACATGCATTATCTAAACATCATGTGAGAGGTACAAAATATCTATTGGGAGAGGAATAAATTGTCTAAACACATGTGAAAGATACAACATATCATAATTAGTCATTAATCCTTCATTAAGCTCAAAATTCCATTACACCACAATATTAGAGCATATGCTTCTTGCATTCAAAAGCATGGAATATCAAAGAACAAGCATGAATTGTTTCCCCAACTAACACTACACTACTTAAAAGAGAAGCACAATCCATCAAGGAATAAGTATGAACCATTTAGAGACATAACAAGAGCATTACATTAAGAACTTCATATTTTGACAATCTCAAGATTAAAGGCATTAATACACATAGACATGCATCAATAACATTAAATCTAGAGGTGAGCATCTACTCTAGCATACATAGACATATAGATAGAGAAAATGATCAATTAGAAGCATTAATCCATAGAACTCAATGAATAATCAAGATCTTCATAAGTTCAAGAGTCAAAATATGAATTACAACACAAATCCCTCAAAATTACACAAGATTAGGTAAAGAAAGCATGTTTGGGGCTAACTCTAGCCCCAAAAGGATGTCTAGCCACTCATGATGATGAAGCTCCAACCCTCAAGGGCTAAGTCCATGGTGAAAATCTGCTCCTTGATGATGAAGGTCTCTTCCAAAGGTTGCTCTAGCTTCCTCCCTTCTTCCTCTCCAAGAATAGCCTCTAAGATCAATTTTCAATGTGTGACAAGAGACTCCCTCAAAAAGTGTATCATATTCCTTATATAGGTAGGTCAAATACACCCCATGATGAGCTGTGGTCGTGCAAGGCATATTCTCCAATGATTGGATGAAGGACGGAATAAATGAGCTGGACTTTAACTTTTTCTCGCTGGAGGAAGTTCGATCGATCGAACCTTAACTTGGATCGATCGAAAATGGGTTCGATCGATCGAACTGCATCTTGGATCGATCGAAGTGGTCTGACTCCTCCGGATAATGACAAGGCTGGGATATTTTCAAGATATTTATGGGGAAAAAGACAAAAGTGGTTGGTAGGCGTACAGCTGTGGATAAGATCAATCATTTGAATAGGACAAAATAGGGTTCGATCGATCGAAGGTGATGTTCGATCGATCGAAGGTGATGTTCGATCGATCGAACTTGGAATTTCAGCAAAGGCCAATGTTGGATCTATCGAGAAGTACTGTGATCGATCATAGATGTTGGATCGATCGAACTCTAAGTTGGATCGATCGAACTCTAAGTTGGATCGATCGAACTTTTCAGCTGCACAACTTGATTCCTTTTTGCTCCTTTCTTTCTCCACTTTGCTCCCTCCTTTGGTTTATCTCAGGATTGCTTCAATTAAGCTCTTATTTGGCTGAGTTAGCTAAATTTTGAGATTAGTGCCTAAAAATATAAATAACACGTAATAAGTCTAAAACGGCAAAGTAAGATAGATAAAGGTACTAGAATGCTTAAGCTTAACGGGTTTAAATGCGCACTTTTCAGTGCTCATCACCTACGATTTGATCTTATAATGAAAAATTGGGATTAGGGATACATAGAAGTATGATATTTTTTTTTTTTGGGGGGGGGGGGGGCGGGGCGCGGGTGTGCACATTTGGAAGGATAGGAATATGAAAACTTTTGAAATTGTGAAAAATTCAAATTTAAAATTATATACTTCTAATGAGTCTTTTTCTCTAAGATCTAAGAAGCACGGATGCAGATACATGACCAGGATACGACACAGACATGACAACCTGAAAAATCCTAAAAAATTAAGACATAGTAGGAACATGGAAAATAATAAATTAATATTTTTATATATGTAATAATGTATCATAAGATCAATACTTCTAGTGTTCATCAGACTAGTAATAAAAAATTACAGAATGCAATGACAAATTCTCTTATTTAGGAAGAGAGAAAAGAAATGAGAATGGGCTGCGTATAATTTTTAAACTCCGTTTATAAAATTTGTTGTAATCTCAATCCCCAACTAAACAAAAGATTACAGTTGTATAAAGAATAAAAGACGAAAAGGGCAGAGAGAGAGAGAGAGAGAGAGAGAGAGAGAGAGTTGTGTGAAATTGTATGTCTAAACTCTAAACCCTTTCTAAAATTAGGGCTTTTTTAAAATAGGAAAGATAATTCTATTAAGAGAGAGAGAATCGGTGAAAGAAAAGATTAAAGAAATAAGGAAAATTAAGGTTTTGTTGAGAAACAAAGAGTGCTTTGTTGATAACAGGAGAGAATTTGTAGAGGAAGAAAGGGGTTTGTGATAAGATAATTCTATTCCACTTTTTATTTTAACCTATCTTTTTTTGAACTTTAAAAAAAATCCCTTTTAATCAAACACATGTCCGCGGTGTGTCGACAGTTTGCTGTGTGTCCAAAAAGGAAAAATATTCGGACACGTTTTGGGCCGTGTCCGTGCCCAACACTTATGTGAGACAGACAACATGAACTTTTAGGCTTGTCCATGGTTCCTAGTCTAGGATCCTCCAAGGGGATTGGAAGTGGTCTTTCTTCTGCTGTTTTTTTTGGATCATTAGTTTGTAATTTAATGTTTCTCTCTTTCCGCCTTGGGTGTGCATTTGTGATTTCTATTTATGTCTTTTGCATAGCTATTACTTGTTCATCCCAAAACATAAAACAGAGAAAGGAAATTCCAAATTGCATTTGCTCTATATGTAGTATAAAAATTGAATAATTCTGCTATATTTATGTGTTTTTAATCATAAAAAATTGTCATACATCTTGCATGTATTTTTTGCGCAAGTTTGCTTTGATTTTTATTTTTTTCCCTTTCCGATCAACTGTTACAGTAATTTTCATAGACTTTTGTATTACTTTGTCACCGTTCTTGTCCTTGCATGCTTTAAAATGAATAATTGGTTCCCTGTTCGCTTCTTATTCTTGCTATTCAATCGGCAAGCAACTTGCCTTCATGACATTTTCATCACTTACAGGACAAATTTCTTTTCAGTATTAATTTATATGTGTGATATTTGTTTTATTTGCAGGCTGTTTCACTGTTTAAATCTTATTTTGGTGGGGCTTTTGATGAAGATGCCATTCGTAATAATTTTGTTTTGATTTATGAGCTCTTGGATGGTAAGTCCTTAAAAGTACTCCACTTGATGGAGCTTGCAATGAATAACTCTTTCCATTTATCTTATCATCACTTTATTTTATTTTATTTTATTTTTGATAAATATATTTGAATACAGTTGTATTCTGTTAATATGTTGTACGGTATGCAATCATTCTTATTTACTGAGATGTGTGTGCCAATTGTTAAAAGTTAAATTTGATTATATTAGAAATATAAAAATGGATAAGGCATACATCAGAAAGAAGAAATTGGTTTGAACTAGAAAGCCTTGGAAGAACTTCAGATATTCATTGTGCAACCCGGGTCTAATGAAATAAAGTACGAGAAATTGAAGAAACGTGTTGCAGTTCATAAAAGGATCAATTGCTTAGAAGTTGGTTTAGTTTCAAGGTTGGGCCCTCTGGGGACCTTCGATCATTAAGTTTCTAGTCATGCCAGGTCTTATTTCACATTTTATTGAAGTTAACTAATATGTTACTGATTTAGTTATAGGAATTTTTATCTTATATTTTAGGATTCAAGGGTATTTTGGCCATTGAAAAGTTTCTGGAACCTTCTATTCTGTTAGTGAATGGGCTTCTGGTCTTTATGTATGGCCTTTAGTTGTTATAAATGTTTTTTACTTATCAAAATTAAAAAATTTAAAACTTCTGTGTATGATTTGTCCGACCAAGTCGGCCAGCTTTTCGGGAGTGATATAATCTTTTACATGGTCCTTTTGCAGAACCTCAATCATTTGTTCTCCAGCAGCATATACGGCCTATATATCTTTCTGTACTCTTCAGTCCAACAGAAATTAGTTCTAGCAATCATGACCCTAGGTGTGATTCCTTAAGGATTATAGGAATTATTTCTAGAATATTTGTTTATCCATCGGTCTGTTCATTCATTTATTCTTCTTCTAGGAAAAAATTCAATTTTTTTTTGCAATCACCCTAATTTCGCTAAACTTTTTTTAATGTCCAAACAGTCTAGGATTAAAGGAAAAAAAGAGAGTCCAAAACAGTAACCTAGCGTGTCTTTACTTTGCGCCATTGTAAAATTTCAGACTGACAAGCGTAAGGATGCAGGCCTAAGTTTGAGAACAGTCATTTTGTGGAAAAAATTATCAAATTTTAGGTCTGTCCCCGGTCTTCCTTCCTTGCACCCTTCATAACTAAGACACACACGGGGTAATATCCTTTAAGTCTAGTGTGAGAACCTTTACCCTTCTTCTGCCCTATAAGCCTTTATTAGCATCCAGTACGAAGAAAAAGGTTGTTGTCCAGCAATTCCAACTTCACTTGCAAAATGCAAGCCAATTCCAAACCCTTCTAATCTACAAGGCCCACCATTTTTCTTTTCTTTGAAACCGTATAGTTCTAGACTTAACATAGTGTAAGCCTACCGAATAGCTCGCAATCAGGCTTGGTTTTGCTCAACTATTATTTGATAGGTAATGGTTCCTGTATTTCATTTCTTTTGTGCTCTAAAGTTGTTGGCCAAGGACCAAGCCTGAGAAGATGAATGTGATGGGTTTAATTCTCCTCCCTTATGCGATGTGCACGAAGGGTACTAGGTCCATTCAAAGGTGGGAGGAGCACCCTTCTAGTCAACAGAAGAAAAAAGTTAATTATAACAATAAAAGAAGAAAAGTGGAGTGCACTTGGGGATTTGACCAATGTTGGGAAGGCACATGCAAGAGGGTATCATCTCTACAAATAAATTCCCATAGATACACATATAGATGAAGTCATTGGGCAATTTTCAAGGATTAGGTTTGGGCGAACGAATTTAAAGTTGAATGTGGTTCCTTTAGTAGAAGAATTGCCACATCCTCAAAGACAGATTTAAGCATTATCACACATATTTAGTTGTGTAATTTGCCAATTGATTAAAGTCTATGCCCCCTGTTTTTTTATTATTCTTTTTTCTTGTTTCTTCTTTATGATAATGTTTTAGTTCAGTTGACTTCAATATTCTCTATTCCCCTCTCATGCACACACATATGTATCAGTTTTGTTCATTGCTTCACATCATTGCTCATTTTTGTGCTTGCTGGCGTTCTTGGTGTGTTAATTCTTTTCTGGAGTCTGTGGTCTTTGTTTTCCGAGCTAGAATGTTAAGACTTTCTTATTATTGAAACACAAATTCTGTCCATAGAATGTGTGCGTGTTTCTTTCTTCTTCTTTTTTCCTCCCTCAAACCACCTGCACAAGCATACACAGGTACATAGCTATGAAAATGGAAGGTGAAACAAAAAAAAATAAAAAAAAATAAAAATAAATAAATTCTTCTTTTTTATTTTTCCACACAGAATTAAATTCAGTATATATATTTATATATCCTTGATACTGAATTGAAAAATGCAGAGATCATGGACTTTGGTTATCCTCAAAATCTCTCTCCGGAAATTTTGAAGCTTTACATTACTCAGGAAGGAGTACGCTCACCTTTCTCATCCAAGGTTAGATGTGTGTTATAGTTAGATTTCATATTAATTTTGAAAGATGGCGCACAGCAACAGTCTCCTATGACTGGTTTTCCGGTACTTGTTACTTTTTTCCCTTTGAATACCGTATGGAAGATTATTCTAACAGTCTAACTTGTTTCTGCCATTTAAAAATTAAACAGCCTACTGATAAGCCAGTCCCAAATGCAACTTTACAAGTTACGGGTGCTGTAGGATGGCGTCGAGAGGGTCTTGCTTATAAAAAGAACGAGGTTACCTTATTTTATTTATTTTCTTATTTCCTAACCTCCTCTAATATGGCTATTCTGCTGAACTATAACATTTATTTATTAAACAGGTGTTTCTTGATATTGTTGAAAGTGTTAATCTTCTCATGTCTTCAAAAGGTGGGCAATAGTTTTGGCAGGTATATTACTTGGTGTATCTGTCTTGGTTGCTTAGAAACAATTTGGTGATTACAGGTAGTGTTCTGCGATGTGATGTAACTGGTAAAATTCTTATGAAGTGCTTCCTTTCTGGAATGCCTGATTTGAAGTTGGGATTGAATGATAAAATTGGCCTCGAGAAAGAGTCCCAACTTAAATCACGTCCTACAAAGAGGTAGCTTCTGAGGACCCGTCACAGTATTTCATTTTTTATACATATTCTTACAAGTTTTCAGTTTAATCCTTTTTTAATTTTTTTTTTTTTTTTTAGTGTAAATGATTTGGCTCAATGAGCCTCTTTTAGATATGTCCGGAAATCAAACTATTGCACATCTTGTTTGCATGAGAAATATGAAACTTACACAAGATCTGTGCTTGCTTTAACATATTTAATATTTTTGCCCACATATTGGACACATCTAATTATGGGATTGTAGAAGGGCTCCATAGTAACATTTTAAAAATTTTTTTGGTTAGGTAAGTAATCACACGCACATTTCACGAATTGCCCACCATGGGGCTCGAACCCCTCACCTCCCTTTTGAGGGAGTACAGGTTATACCATTGGGTTAACAGCCTATTAGTCCATGGTTACTTCTTCATTTGCACTTGGAACATTGTTTGTACATTTCATAAAAAAATCTAATTCCCAGTCTCTGAATCTCTCGTTGTACAACCCATTTGTAGGGGGGCGGAGGGAAGGGGGGGCTGGCAGGGGCCATGGGGCCCCTAATTTTTTGGAATTTTTTTTTTAGTATAGGTAAAAATAAAATAGTATAGCATATATGGTATAAAATCTATACTTGGCCCCCCTAAGAAAAAAAAAATATAATTCTTTAATTAGAATTTAACAAAAGGTAGTTTATATAGTGATTTAATTAACGATTATAGAATCCCGATAAAAATTGATTCATATAAAAATTTAATACTATCTTAAAATTTCAACTCAAACACCTTTCATTCCATAATGTGACTACAAATACGATTGTTTTCATAACCTTAATATTCTAAAATTTCATCTCATACATGATTCTTTCCATCACTTTTTATTTTTTTATTTATTTTTTTTTTATTGAAATGCTTTTATAAGAATTCTATAAGAAATTAATCTTTACAAAATAAAGAACAAAAATTTCAATTGAAGTTTTGAATATCAACAAAAATCGATGATTTAAGAATCTAAATTCTTATTTTATTAATTTGTTTCTGCTTTTTTTTTTTTAAATCATTTTCATTGTTTTGTTAAATTTTCAATTGTTACATTTTTTTTAAAGTTATTTTTGTTTTTTTTTTCTTTTCGGTTAATAAAGAGAGTTATTTAATTGAATTTTTTTATAATTTTGGCATAAATCTTATTTGTGTTTATTCAAAAAGTTTGATAAAAAATTTATTTAAATAACTAGTTTTTTTATTTAAATAAATTGGAAAAAGTTTAGATAGATATATTTTTGTATGAATATAATAAATAGTAAAATATTTTTGCCTACGTAATATTTTATTTTTTTTCAAAAATTCTAACTAGATAATGTTGTTTATAATTTTGGCCCCCCCAACCTCAAGATCCTGGCTCCGCCCCTGCATTTGTACATTTCATAGTTTGACTTCTATATGTTTCTTTGCTGTGAAAGAGCAAAGTTAAAGCCAATATGTATTGCGCAATTATACTACTTAATATCTCTCGTTAGTTTTTCTGAGGAACTTTGTTTTTGCAATTACTGATGATATAATGTTCCCCAAGTTTTTGTATAGTTTTGTGTCTGTAGTACAGAAACTTAATATAACAATACATATTTCATAATTCTTAATTTTCCATTGACATTACTTAAGATGCTTGCTTCCTGTATTTCAAATGTTTCTGCGTTATATTTTGCAGTTGCATATTTTCATCTGCTCACATTAACTTAAGTATTTTTGCCAAGCATGTTTCCTTAGTTAAAACCTCTGCTTGACAGATGCGTTTTCTTTGCATTATTTTCCTATTTTGTTACTATGTTACGGCTATCTAATGCAGTGGGAAAACCATTGAGCTCGATGATGTTACTTTCCATCAATGTGTAAATTTGACAAGGTTTAACTCAGAAAAGACAGTTAGTTTTGTGCCACCAGATGGTGAATTTGAGTTGATGAAGTAAGCCCTCAACCCTTCTTCTTATTTTTTATTTTTTATTTTTTATTTTTTACCTTTTTAATATATAATGTAATCTAAAAAAGCTCAGCAACACAGATATCGTATCACCGAGGGAGTAAATCTTCCATTCCGGGTGTTGCCAACTATTAAGGAACTGGGTCGGACACGAATGGAAGTAAATGTTAAGGTACTTATTGACATTTTGAAGCATGGAGATTTGAAGTGTTGGTTACAATGCATTTATATGGTTCTCCCTAAAATTTTAGGTGAAGAGCGTATTTGGAGCAAAAATGTTTGCGCTTGGAGTTGTGATTAAGATTCCAGTACCAAAACAAACGGCAAAAACAAGTTTTCAAGTGACATCAGGCCGAGCAAAGTACAATGCATCTATTGATTGCTTGGTGTGGAAGTGAGTATTTGAATATGTTAATTTGTAATATTTGACCCCATGGGCATCATTTTTCTTAGTATATTATCATTTTTTTTCCTAGTTGGTACTTACACACACTTGTCTCTTCTGAGACTTGAACCCCTGACCTTCCTTTGGGAAGTAAGAGGTTGATACCGCTAGGCCACTGGCCCGTTGGTTAGTATATTATCATTGTAACATCTGTTTTTGCTGAAATGTCGTATACCCAAGATAGGTGCTTGATTTCTGTCTTGTTGAATCATGGATCCAAAGAGAAGATTGACCTTATACAACGACCAAGCATACCTCATTCATTGATCAACTTGAGGGAACTGCTACGCAGAAAAAAGTGTTTTGTTATGATTGAGGCTTTGAGCTTGCACCTAGGTGCAACAATCCCTACTTGAACCTAGGTGTATCTCAACTTCTTAGGCAATAAATTTGATGATATTAACTGAGAATTTGTCATCCAACACATCAGTCCAATGGAATGTTATACATAATTTTTATATATGTGTGTGTGTGTGGAAACTAAAAATGAAACTTCTATTTATATATATGTAACATGCTCGGTCATGAACATATACCAATTTAGTATAAAAAATCAACTATTGTCTTTTTGAATATGTTCATGCACATTTTTACTCTTCTGATCATCATGTTTTTAGTATCTTAAATTGGGATTGATTTTGGAAGTTTTTTTATTCACAATGTAACAATTTTCCATCTTAATTCACATTGTAATGATATTATATGGCTCATGCTCTTGCAAATTACTATGCAGGTGAAATCTTAATCCAGAGAGCCATATATTCTCCGTGTCATAGATTCCATGCATGTTAGGTTAGCATTATGCATTAGGAAATACATTGTGATTTTAAAAAAATGTTGTATGCAATTTATTTTTGTACACATATGGTGGATAATCTATTTGATTAGTGATATAAATATGATTATTTTATTTTATTTTTAAAGAGAATGTCTCAGTATATTGTTTAATAGTTTAAAGTTATAGTTTTTAATTTTGCCCCCATCTTGATTCTTACAGTATTCCACACTCGGTTTAGTTTGCGGCTGATCTCTGTAACAACATTTGGAACTTTGTAGGATACGTAAATTTCCTGGACAAACTGAGCCAACCTTAAGTGCAGAAGTAGAGTTGATTTCCACGATTGCAGAAAAGAAGTCTTGGACTAGGCCGCCAATTCAGATGGAATTCCAGGTACCTAAGTGATTTTTTATCACTAGTTCATGAAAATGGTTTTAGTGAATTTATGGTAGCCCCCATGTTTCATGGAAATGAATTAAGTGCACTGGCAGGGTCCTTAATTTTTTAAAGTACCTTACATCAAAGGAACTATACTTTGGATGCCAACATTGCAACTGCATTCTAGTAATGATGATCCGGTCCCTCCCATAAAGGTCCCTCTTTATGAGTGCTGATTTTGTGTTAGGTTTTGAATTAGAAGTTTTGAAATCTTATATGCTCAATTATAAATGAGATAATGGTGTTATTTCCATTCTGTAATTGTAATATGAGTGAGTTCCTGGATCTGGGGTTTTTAATTTGTTGAAAAAGTCCACACTTGGAGTTCCTTTTCATTTTTCCTCTTTTTTCTTTTTCAACAACAGAGGTGGTCCTTCCCTTCCTTGTTCATAAAACCACCTCTCTCTCTAAGAAAAGATGGGGAAAAAAAAGAGGTACGGCTGCAAATGGGATTCAGTCCCAGATCTTTGGTAGAACTTTCTAGTTAGGCTAGCTCGAACCTTCAATGTGCTCTAGTTACTGGTACTTGATGGAATTTAATATAAAATATACAATGACTAAATATGAAATTCAAGAAAGCTATAGTCTCCTGCAATATTTGGGAACAGAACATCTATGCTTTTATACTTAATAGCGTGTTGACATAACCACACAAATTATTTGTGATATGTTTGCATTTAAGCAAGCTGGTGCTGGTTTAAGATTTTTTAAGATTTTGAAGGAGCTGTACCCATTCTTTACCATTTCTGAATCTGTCCGCTACAATTTATCAGATCCCTTTTTGTGGTAAAAAAAGTTACAAAGAAATAAATAATATAGTAAATAATAAATATATAATTATATAATTATGATACATTATATTTAAGCCATAGTTGTTAAAGGCGCGCCTAGGCTCCAAAAAAGCCCTAGGCTCGTCAAGGCTCAGCTAGAGCGCCTCAACCTACTACGGGCTAGGCCCCTTTAATCAGGCTCACATAAAGACCTCAGGCTCACACTTTTTAGTAGGCTCCAGGCTAAAAACACGGCGTGCCTTGTATTTTTTAATCATTTATTCATATCATTTTCTTTTTTACTTGATGACTAGTAAATTAAAAGTTTCTATATCTTATATCTTATTGTTTAACCTTCTGAAATATTTGACAAAGTTCATAAATTTATGGTTCACTACTTACATTAACTGCAATTACTACTTGATTATGATATATATAATAATATATGTTTAAATATGCATTATTATATACACGAGCCTTACTTCGATCAGGCTCGCGCCTTATACCGTGCCTTGCGCTTAGGCTCCAGAAGGCATTTGGCGCCTTAGCCTTTAACAACTATGATTTAAGCTCATATTGTCTTTTGCATGTAACATCTAAGTACTTCTGTCCCTACTCTAAACTGATTCTTGATTTTGCAGGTTCCTATGTTTACAGCATCTGGATTACGTGTTCGTTTTCTCAAGGTAAATTTACTGAACTTTGTGGCAAATGCAAATTTTCTATGTGAATACAGCTCCACCTTATCAGCTTTTGCAGGTTTGGGAGAAGAGTGGGTACAACACAGTTGAGTGGGTCCGCTATATTACCAAAGCTGGTTCATACGAGATTAGGTGCTAGAAACACAGGAATTCTGTTGTGAAATTTTCTTCGTCGGAGCTGTTGGGTGGAGAGCGGGAACATGTTCAAGCTTGTGGACAAGGTATAGTGACCTCCGCTACTCGTCCACAGACACGCAGCCCCACTAATTGGCTGTTGTATTATTTGACGCATTTGTTGAATCGTCTAGGGCTCTGTCAATAATGCAACACTATTGGAGATCATGTGTTGTAAATGCTAGTCCTCCATTAGGACTGGAACAGTATACGTCTTCCTTTATGATACTTTGTGGTCTTATTACTTTTTAATTTGTGTTGTAAACCGTAGTCCTGATATAGGGTGAACTATGTAAATTTTATGTTGTGCATATTTTGTGGTTGCTTTATTGCTTTGATTGGATCTTCACGTGTTCTCGTTGCGTTCATGGCTTCGCCATTCTGGAGAAGTCCGAACGGTCGCCCTATTTCTGGCTGGTCATAGTTTCCCAGATTCTGTGTTATAGCGATTTTGTTGGCGCTTCTTCCACTGCACGAGTCCTAACAATTAAGTGCAGGTGGATTGAGACCGACAAAAATATGGTGAAGATTAAAGTGGAGTGGATGCTAGTATGATGTAGGTGGAGGCATAGTGGTTCGCGGAAATTAGAGGCCGTGGAGGTGGATTGTAATAATATACCTAATGAATAAATGTTTCGAAAAAGAAAAAAAAACTCTAGGTCACCATTTTGTTTTCATTTAAAAGTGAGTGAAGGTGCAGTGAAAGAATGATATTTTTTGTTCAATAAAAACTGAAAGGGTCGTGATACTCAGCCAGACAACTTAGGCAGAATCAATGTACATTGTTATGTGGCGGTCTATTTGTCAAGTTTGGAAGAGAGAGGAGAGAGAAAAAGTGGGAGAGATGAGGAGGTCGGCGGATGGAAGCCTCGTGAGGTAGCGACGGACATCAGCTTTAAGGAATAAGACGCTGCCTCGGCGTGACCATCTTCCCCTTCTTCCTAACCCAAAAAACCTTTTTCTCTCTCTACTCTCACCCAAAAATTCAGTTCATATTGAGATTGAACTGAAAATTTCTTTTTTCCAAGATTGAACTGAATTTACCAAATATATATATATCTTGATTGAATTTAAATTAAACAATTATCTATTTAATTTTAATTGGTAATTTATTTCTTGATTGAATTTTAAATAAACAATTACCTATTTAATTTTAATAATAATTTCCAGCATAATATGATTTACTTTAAATGGTAACTTATAGGATTTATTTTAATTGGTAACTTATTTTATTATTTGGTAAATTATTTTATTATTTTATCTGTAAATGATTTGAAACAATTTGATTGAATTTCAATTAAAAAATTACTTATTTTATTTTAATTGGCAATTTTATTGTTTGAATTTCAATTTCATTAAATAATTACCTATTTTATTTTAATACGTAACTTGTTTTGGTTGTTTTAATAATGATTTGAAACTTCATGATTGAATTTCAACTAAACAATTACCTATTTTATTTTAATTGGTAATTTATTTTATTATTTGGTAAATTATTTTATTAAATTGAATTTCAAAAAAACAATTACCTATTTAATTTACCAATTTTATTATTTTATCTATAAATGATTTGAAACATCCTAATTGAATATCAATTAAACAATTACCTATTTAATTTTAATTGGTAATTTATTTAATGATTTGAAACATCTTGATTGAATTTCAATTAATAAATTTCCTATTTAATTTTAATTGGTAATTTATTTTATTATTTGGTAAATTATTTTATTTGTAAATGATTTGAAAAATCTTGATTGAATTTCAATTAAACAATTACCTATTTAATTTTAATTGGTAATTTATTTAATGATTTGAAATATCTTGACTGAATTTTAATTAAACAATTACCTATTTAATTTTAAATGGTACCAATTTTATTATTTTATCTATTAATGATTTGAAATATCTTGATTGAATATTAATTAAATAATTACCTATTTAATTTTAATTGGTAATTTATTTAATTATTTGGAACATATTGATTGAATTTCAATTAAACAATTTTTTATTTAATTTTAATTGGTAAGATATTTTATTATTCGGTAAATTATTTTATTAAATAATTACCTATTTTATTTTAATACGTAACTTGTTTATTTTAATTGATAACTTATAGGATTTATTTTAATTGCTAACTTATTTTATTATTTGATAAATAATTTTATTATTTTATCTATAAATGATTTGAAAAATCTTGATTAAATTTCAATTAAACAATTAGCTATTGAATTTTAATTGGTAATTTATTTTTTTATTTGGTAAATTATTTTATTAATGACCTATTAGAAACTCTTTTACTTTAATTCATTTTATGTTAACTAATAAATATTTTTTTATTTTAATACTGAAACACTAAAACTCTTTACACTTTTAATAATAATAAAGATATAGATTAAAATGTATTAATGAAAATATTTAAAGATTAAATTCGAGTAATTGTCTGTATCATTTCCTTCCATGAAATTTAGCATAGAACCATGCTATATATATACATCAAAAAAGAAACCAAATAACTGGTCTAAATTCCTTGAATGCATTTAGTTGGGGTTGGACTTCAACAAGTAAAAATAATGTTGCAAGAATGGAATGGAATGGAGATCATTCAGTTTCGTAAGAAAACTAAAGTTGGAATGACCATTTTTTTTTGGCATTACTAAATAATTTTTTCTTTTTATAAAAAAAAATCACAATTCCAAAACAACCATCAGGTTTCAAGACCAAAAACCATCACTTCCACCTTCCATCACGGCCATCGCACCTCCACCATTGCCATTATGTCGCCGCCTTCCACTACCATTATCGTCTTCGACTCTTCATCATCGCCTTTCACTACTACCTTCCATCATTGCCACCTCTATCGCCACTGTCACTGCCTTCCACTGCCACCACCTCGCTGCTGCCATCACCACTACTGTCTTCTACCATCACTGTCATTGTCTTCCACCACCGCCACATACATCATTGCTATCTTCCACCACCACAACCAGTACTTCCACCGTAGCCTTCCACCACCATCTCCGTCTACACCGCTGCTACCTTTTACCAAAAAACACTGTCGTCGCCTTCCACTACCACCACCGTCATTGAATTTTATTTTATTTTATAGAATAATGTTATTTTGTTAGTTTAATTTATTTGTTACTAAAAAAAAAAGTATTTTGACTAATAGAGTTTGAATTTCATTTCATTCTAAGTTTTAAATTGGGCAAACAAAAACACTAGAATGCTGATCATCTATCCAATCCTACACCATTTTATATTTGCAACCAAATAGTAGAATGAAATGACTATTCCATTCTCACTTGCATTCTGTTTCATTCCTACATACCAAACATGTATGAGTAGATTCTTTCAACTTCTTTCTTAATGAAAAAAAAAAACATGTCTCATCTATTCTTCTTTGAATTAAATATCTCTAGTACTAGTACCATGTCCAATGTGTCTTGAGTACAACAAAGGTTGTGATTCAACTGCATGTTTATTTTTTTTAATTACAGTCATTAATTATTATACAACAGGTATCTATCCCCAATTTGTAATGATGATATCATCGCACATTAGGACTCTCAAATATAGAAATTTAGTAAAAATATGTCATTAAAAAAATTATTACATGGTCCACGACATATTTATCAAAATTGCTGGCAATTTGTTTTGAACCTTTTTGCTGGCATATATATATGGGAAAAAAAATCCTTAAAAACCCTAAATTCTAAATCTCTCTTTATAACAATTTTCGGCTCCGCTTTTGGTTCGCAGTTTTTTATTTCACTTTGTACTCTCTCTCACAGTAGTAGGTTTAGAGTAGATAACACTCCCCAAACCAACCTGCATTTCAACAACACCACCCCAAAATCGCCTTCTCTCGGCTTCTCCCAGATGGATTCACGAGAATCACCAGCACCGCCGCCACAACCACCGGGAATGATGGTCCCACAACCACCGCCCCCCAATTCCTACACTCCCAACTTACCCAACAACACTTCGCCGATGATAAGTCCCAATTCAAGTACAATGATCCAAAACCCTCGATTCCCTTTCAATTCCGTCGTCACATCTGCGTCCAACTCGCCGTACGGCGACGGATCGCAGCAGCAGTTGCCCCCGTTGAAGCCTGCCGGGTTCAGCATTGAGCCGGCGAGGAAGAAGAGAGGCCGGCCGAGGAAGTACTCGCCTGATGGTAACATTGCTCTAGGGTTGGCTCCTGCTCCTACTCCTACTACCCAGGCTCCTGTTAATCCTGTTTCTACTGTGGCTCACGGAGATTCTGGCGTTGCCACCCCGTCATCGGATACTCCGGCGAAAAGGAGTAGAGGGAGACCACCTGGGACGGGCAAGAAACAATTGAATGCTTTAGGTGATTCTTCTATATTCTGAAAGAGTTGGTGATTATAAATGTGGTTGTTTGTATTTACTGATGTTTAATTTGTGGTATATATTAGGAAGCATAGTCATTTTTGAGTTCTATTGTGGGCAGGATCATCTGGAGTTGGTTTTACACCGCACGTGATATTGGTTAAAGCTGGCGAGGTAATGCCACTTTCATATAACTATCTCAGAGTTTGTCAAAATTATATATATAAACAATCAAGGAAAATAAATTAAGATCTAGAGTTTACACATATATCATTGTAGGATGTATTTTGAGAAGTACCTATACTTTAGGCCTTTATTGGGTTCAGTTCAAAAAGTGCTCGTCAGCTGGCTCAAGCATGCGGCTGCGTGCCTTGTCTTGATGAACCTCTGCTACAGTTCTCTAAACTGATATTTTATGCTAGGAATTTAAAAGAAGAGAAATATATTCCTAAAATGCTAGAACTTGAGTGATTGAAAGATTCTAAACATTAAGCGGGTCCTTTTAATATCCTAAAGCAACTTAAAAATTGATAAAATGAAATCCCAGCAAGTAGATGATTTTCCAAAATATCCATAGAAGAGTATCCTAGATTAGAACTCCAGTGATTGCTTGAAACTTCAAATAAAAAAAACTAATTTTTGGATATATTATGTGTTATTGGGATTATAAGGGCGATGTGCGCGCACTTGAAGACAAATTGGTACGTGTTCTTGTACTGATAAGTCATCACATAAATTTTGACGTTAAGTGCTTGAAGACAAATATATTACCGAATCAGCATGCTTTTGTATTATGTGTTCATGAATTTCTTTGTTTAGTCTATTTATTGCTATTTGAGGGTCTCTCATTGGCATGTGTGAATTTTTTAACATAATAAATATATTTACTAGTATTTGGTAAATAGTATGATTAAATATACTATTCAAGATCATGCGGGGGAAAAAGAACAACAGAAATTTAGAACATATGGAATTTCATACTAAGCCTTGGACTTCATTACTTACATACTTTGTAATACCAAAGGGATTTTGTACTAAATATATGACTATCTGCATGTCATTAGATTCTCTACCTCTTTTTCATGGACTCTTTAAAAGTAGTGAAGTACCCACCCGTGTCGGACACGTATCCCTTGGACACGTGTATGGGATATGTGTCTGACACTTTTGGTTGGACATGTACTTAAAAAATATATCCAATCATTCAATTACATTATATTATTACTTTAAAATGAGTTAAATGCCTTTATTGAACATTATATTAGATAAAAATATTACTTTACTCTAGAAAATAAAATAAAATAATTAATAAAATGAATATTGAGCCGTGTCCGTGTGTCTTTCTGTTTGGAGATTTGACACGTCTGACGCATGGATACATACCCGTGTTCGACACCCGTACCCGAGTCCATGTAACATAGCTCTTTGCATCCGTGGAACTCTCAATTCTTATACCTTAATGCAACATGGATGAAAATGGGAGAGATTATTTAAAGAATGCACTTTTTTGGATTCCAAAACCTTGGAAAAATTCCGCCTAAGTAGGCTTCCTGTAATTATTAGCTTAACCTATTGGTTTATCAAAACTTGAAGAGGCATTGTTGACAAATAGGGCTAGCCGGCTAGGAGTTTCCATGAATTAGAGGATGGTCTAGATTCATATGCTTCTCATAAGGTGCATGTTATATTAGGTTTTTCTACTTAAATGCAGGTCCCTTTAAATTGTTATTTTTAGACACTCTTACCTGAATACAAACAAAGCAGATATGTGTTTATTCCCTATATTGGTGCCTGCCCTAACATGGGTTATTATAGTCAATTTATTTTCTCTAGAGGGAGGATGGTTTTTTTTTTTATACATATTGGTTGTGATTTTCCTAAGCATCACAGGAAAAGAAGCACTAAAGCTTTCTTTTGTTTTATCTTTCTTTAACCCCTGTTTACCAGAATTGCAATCTTATAATATTGTAATATACGTAGATAACAATTTTTTTAGTGGATATCAAATCATCGAACATCTTGTCCTTGCCATTGTAATTACTGAATCTAGTTAAGTGAGGAAATGAGAGATTTGCAGTGAAGCAGTGGCTGCTATTATTATTGGTGGTTATAAGAAGAGAAAGAAATGGTGAAGTTGCCATTGGGGAGTGGTTAAATTGCATTGTAACTACAGAGATCAGAATTCTGGTGAAGGATTGCACGTATCTTCTTGTTTACAGAGATCAGAATATTGGTGAAGGATGGCATGTATATTCTTGTTGTCTTGATCACTTGATTGAATGAGGAAGTTCTAATTTCTAAACATGGAAAGAAAGCTCTCGTATTTAAAATTTTCCTTTCTCTTCTTCTTTTGGTGGGGCTGTTAAGAGGAAGTGGAAGGTTCAAATTTGATATTTATTTCTTTATTTTCTTTTTTGACAAGTGAAGCTTAAGTTATTGCAAACAGAAGACAATTTTTCCCTGTTTAAGAATGGGATACTTTTTCGAAAGCTAAAAGGGGCAACCCTTTGAAAGCAAAAACGGAACATGATTATGCAACAATATTTTTTGTTGCATTATGGGGGTTTTCTTGTTGTCATGAGGAATTTATAAATATAAAAACTGGAAAATACAACTGATATCTTGCAATTTTTATGGATTTTAGTATTAGTAACATGTTGCACTATCTATTTGATGCCCAAAAGGAGTAATTTATAGATGTCATTCAAGATCGATTGACTTCATTCAAAATGTGTCTAAAATAAATTCTACGTATGTTTGGAAGTGTTCATACAATACAGCCATTGCCCAAGTTTTGGTTTAGCCTTTGCAAGGTGTTGAGAGGGATGTACTGGATTCAAATCTAACATTTATTATTATTCATAAGCCATAGCAAGAACTTATCAAAAAAAAAAAAGCAAGTTGTTTCTCTCATACTTGAACACAAAGTGTTCAAATGACATAAATCTTGAAAATTATTTGAACTATTGTTTGAAATGTTTTAGCTGAGATTGTTGTCCAATCAGTGGAGGTCTTCTTAGTTATCATTCCAAGACACTTCTTTTTGTTATCTTTTTTTATTTTGAATTTGTAAAATATCATAATTATTGCAATAGACTAATAGCAAGGTGCTTTGTACTAATCTATTATTGACATGCATGTATTGTGCACATGATTATTAAGTTAATTTTATATGCAATTATGCGTATATTCACGTGCATATATAAATACCTGTGATTGTATGTGTGTGTTGATTTTCCTAATGCCAGTTGACCCTCCACGTTTGTGTATGTGTATGTATGCATGTAAGTGCATACATACTTATGTATGTACCTTGTGTCTATATATGTATGTTAGCTGTGCAGTGTTGTATTTCAAAGAAATATAACTTAGATTTATAAAACTATTATTTATGTCATAACTGCTGCGGCACAATTCGTAATGTTTCTGTCATAGTATCTGCATTCGTGATCATTCTTGATTTCCAACATGGGTTATTTATTTATTTATTTTTATAAAATAGTGTTGAGAAATCTAAGACTTGTGACGTAATACTCTGATACATCAAAGTGCGCTAAGCCCAAAATAGGTCTAGAGGGGATGAATAAATATTGTCCAGTTTTAACTTACAACAACTGAGTTTTAAAGGCTAACAGTTATATTTATAATGCAACAATATCAGTTATTTAAATATAGAGAGCAAAATTAATTGACCGAACAATCACATAAAATATACTAGATTTAGGTGGAAAATCCCAACTGCGAAAAACCACGGGACCTAGTCAGGAAAATCAGAATCCAGTCATCCACTAAGTGAGAAAGAAGTTTTGAACTGGGTTCCCATATTCACTCTTTGTATCACCTTGTCCCTCTTAACTCAGAATTATGCAAGATCCTCCCAATATCTCAATTGTTGATCTGTTTCGCGATTCACTCCTGATGCTATCTGCTCCACAAGTTGATGGTCAACACTCAGAATAGTAACAACCATCTAATGCTACATGCTAGATGATGAAATAAAATTATGCACGTTATGTGCCTAGATTGTTTCTATAAAAAGGAGATCTCTATGTATTTTCTCAATAATGTGTAGAGATTTCTCTATATCTATATGCGTATGTGATGAGAGCCTAGATGTGTTTATATGATGATTTTAGTTAAATGGAATTAGGGTTTCTTAGTTGTAATTAGAAGCTAAACCTTTTAGAATTCTGATAGAAGAGCCTTTTGAACGCTTTTCTAATATATTTTTTACTTATCAAAAAAAAAAAAGAAAGAAAAGAATTCTGATATAAGAGAGTGTCCAAAATTCTTCATGCACAAATCAATCGATTTAGCTGTAGATTCAACCCTACTGGCGCTGCTTGAACAATCAAGCCCTTGATCAAAACAATTTGGACTTTGACAAAACTTTTGAAATTTTTTGATCTAACATGCATTCAGAAAATATTTTTTATGAATCAAAACGTGTATGTATCCTGCCCGAAATGAGTCATGATAAGAATGCATGCTTGTAAACCCTATTTGGTAAGTTAGTTTTTCAAGTGGCGATTTTACCTTTTTGCCTTTGTATCTTCAAATTCTGATTATGCCTTTCACATAGGTACCACCACTAACTAACTGACTACAATGACTTTTGACAATCTAATCAGAAGCTAAAAATAAAAATACGGAGTCCAACTTTTGTTACGAAATTTGCCTACATAAAGTTCTATTTGTCACATTGCCCCCCTTTGGTAATTTCTTTACAAAAAACACAAAGTTCTATTTGTCAAATTCTCCCCCTTTGGTAATTTCGTTAAAAAAAACATAAAGTTCTATTTCTCACATTCTCCCCCTTTGGTAATTTCATTACAAAACCAAAATAAACTCTGACCATACAACACAATCCATTACTACTTATATTTTTGTTTTTCCAATTTTTATTTTTTAATTTTTTTGTATGATCCTTAAAGAAACTCTTGTCATTTGGTAGTCTGCTTCTTCTAAGTTCTCGCATTCTAGGGGTGTGAAAATTTGGGATGATTCTAGAAGATTTGGCAGGAACACGTAACCATGGGGCAAACAGTTGACTAAGAATTTATGAGAAAATATCCACAAGATGGGGATCTTGAGGTCGATGATTAATGCTAGAAATGCAGTCCTCTAATCAACCTTTATTGATCTCATGATGTCTCAAGGATGCTATATTTCCTTCTCCCTTTCCTCAGTGTTGAGGCTTTCAATGTTGCCAAATTCATACAGTTTTTTTCACCAAGTAAAATACAGGTGTATTCTGTTGCAATTACAGAAAGCTGAGCCATTTTGCTATTCCACATTTTACCAGCGACTTCTGAATAACCCATAAAATAAATTAGATTTCTTATGAAATAAAGTTGATTCAAGCCTTGTAAATGGCACAATAATTGATTTCTCATGATATTTTCTCGAATGATTGAAGTGCATGCTCAAACGGTGATCTTTAAACTAAAGCTCTATGTATCTTCTGATTCAGTCTTGCTGAAATTAGTGATGGAATACGAGGAGAAATTGGACAACAGTTGATCTCAAGACATTAAAAATCTAACCGTTTTCCCAAATGACTTCTTTTACCCTTTTAGGCAGTGAAGGTAGACACAATGTATGTTCCAGTCTAATGTTGTCCATATTTAGTGAATTCTGCACAAGAAGAATGTGACCTTTGATTTATATGGGGCGTTTTATCATATCACTCATTCAAAATGTTTATCTGATTTGATGATTCCAGTTAATCAATATCTGTCACCAAAAAATAAAAGGAAAAAAAGAAAAGAAGAAAAATTGCATATTTCAAATAAATTATGCATATTGTATAGTAAAATGTATTTAATCAAGTAACTTTTCCAATTGATATTGTCAATGGGACTGTCGATTGGTTGATACTATTTTTTCTTTCTTTCTTTCCTTCCTTCCTTTTCCTAGTTTTAGATTGGATTTTTTTTTACCTTGCCCATTGGCTTTTTTTTTTTTTTTTGGATTATACTGAGGTAGCTCGTATAAGAGGGGAGCCAAACCTGTATCTGATATGTTTAGAAGACATGAAGTCCTTATTTTTGGAGGAGAGTAGGGTGATAAATTCAATATGTTAAAAAAATAAGATGACTTCAAAATACTGTTTATCATCAAATGTCTGAATAAAGAGAGCAACTTTCAGAAGTGGAGCATGAAGGGAAGAAGTTTGAGCTTCTTTTACTCCTTCAGGTGTCATGTAAGAGTATATATGGCAGAAGTTTGTACACATATATATATTTATATATATTTGTTTCCTATTTACATTTTATTTGTATGTGAATTTACCTATCCTTTTACCCTTTTTGAAGAGGGAATGATATGTGTGTTGTAGGGGGTGGGGATTGACCTTGGACAATCTAGTGAAGCGTTTTTTGTCAATGAGATACGGGTTTTGGCCTGGGGGAAGTGGTGGTTGAGGAATGCATTTTGTTGAAGTTATAAGATGACCCATATCACTACCATTATCAACGGTTGAGATATAGAGAATATTATTCAAAGAGAGATATTGTTGGGTGATGTTCGTGCTTGCTTTACACGTTTTTGATTAAATACTTAGCAGTGATGGCAGAATTGCTTGATTGGAATTTATATGAAAATAAGAACTGTGCATGGTTTTCCTTATCCATGTTACTATGTAATGCTTTTCATTTAATCTTTTCTCACAATTATTTTGTGAGAACATTATGGTCATTTTTCCCCTACTTAAAGATTTTGCTTTGTTTCCAAATTCTGAGTTTAAAACTTAAATTTTTTTTTTATTTTTTATTTTTTTATTTTTTTGAGGGGTTGGGGGTGGGATAGGAGGGGTTGGGTGTTCAGTGTAGCTTTGTCCAAAATCTAATGTGCCTTTTTTTTTGGGGTGCTATTATGGTTTGCAGGACATAGCGTCGAAGATCATGGCTTTTTCACAACTAGGACCTCGTACTGTCTGTATTCTTTCTGCAAATGGTGCCATCTCCAACGTCACCCTTCGCCAACCAGCAACGTCTGGTGGCAATGTGACATATGAGGTCTGTATGGAATATGTCTACCTTCTATTATCATCATTAGTTCCATTTTATATTTGATTTATGTCTCTAGTAGATATGTATCTGATAGAAATTTGAGAACAAGGTGTCATGCGGCTCTTCTAATTTACCTTTTAAATTTGGGAGAAAATGATCTTTTGCAAAAGCATTATTGTTTTCAGAATTTCTTTTTTCAATTTTTTTTTTCCCCCTGATTGAAGCGATAAGAATTGAACCCCTAATCACACTTCTTTTGGATGTCATGCCAAAACACGCCATCATTGTGTTACAACAGCTTTTGTGATGCTTCTTGTCTTCTTGAACTAATTATAAGATTTTAGATATATTTGCTTTCAAAAATGGAGTGTAAAAAATTCATTTCCCTTTAGCAATCTTCATAGAATGTCCGCATCCTATGGTGTTGGAGTTAAAATGATTCTCATATCTTGATAACAGGTTAAAAAATGCAGTAGTCAGTAGGAGTTGTAATCTGTTCAAACTGATAAGCTTTTGACAAACTTTTTCCTGTATAATCAATAGATTTCATTGGTATCTATGCTAGTCCTCCTACATATTTATGTTGGCTAGTACTACTTTTGTAGATGGAAGTGCAATATGGTGCGAGTGCCAATCAATTTGGCATAAAAATATTGGTGTTGACCCAAACATCAGAGGTTCCATCTTGAAATAAAACTAGTGGAATGAGGGTTCAGGATTTTTATTAAGTAATAACTATAATGTAAAGAGGCCTTCTGTGTTAGCGTGCAGCTAGATATGTTACGTAGCACAGGATCTACTTGAGTTTTGCCTATTCAATTATAGAGATAGTGGAGCTTGTTACTTCTTCTTTTCCAATTAAGTAATGCAAAGTCCAAAGTTCGTTTAAAGCATTTTCTGCCCCTTTGTTTTGTTAGGTCTAGAGGATTGTATCACTTCATAGGAAGGTTCTTCTCCAACATGGAAGTTATGATTGAAGATCGAGCTGAAGTTGCAATAACATAATTCTTCATCTTCCCACAACTACGCAATTTAGGGAGGGCAAGTGATCTAAAAGACCTTAGGTTTTAGATTGGATAATTTAAATGGCTTAGAAGTTCCCTAATTAGTTTAAGAATTTTAAAGTAATCTGAAAGCTATTAGAATTAATTTGGAATTAGCTTGTGTTTAATGAGGACATTTGGAATTAAATTTTATTACTTTGGAATCGAATTTGAAGCTTTTAATTTGATTAAGAAGCTTGAATTTTGGGTTTTGAATTTAAATTGAACATAAGAGGTATCAGTATTTTGGAGGTGATATTGTCAAGGTCAGAATGATTTTGGCAGGGAAGTTGATTTTGTCAAGAGATGTTTCAATTCATTTCCCTCAAGTAGTGATCCATTTTGTTTAATAAAGTTAAGGATCAATCCAAGCGCTCGTATGGATTTAATGGTCAATCCATTTACGGTCAAGGATCAATCCAAAGTGCCCATAGAGTGTTAAGAATCAATGCATTTAAGCAGGACTGACTCAACACAATTTTGAGGCGTCAGGTGAAACTTTTGGGTTTCAACTGAAGTTCGAAAAGTACCCCAAAATTTGAGAAGTTATTGCAAGCAGTCATGTTGGGTTTCTCATATTTTTGGGCTAAGTTTCAAAATTTTGTAAAGAAAGATGTTGCCAGCGATGAAGTTATAGTATTGCCGTTGGCCAGTTGATTTACATTCTTAGTTTAAAATTTTTACCTTCCAACAATTCCACGAATGCAAAACTTCACTTAGAATATGATTTGAGGAATAAACGATTAGAGTTTTGACCAACATATAAAGAACAAGTGGAAGAAGTTCCAAAGGACAAAAGGTAATGATAAGTCAGAAGTTTACTATAATATAGTAAATTGCACGGACCTCCCTGAGGTTTGCCATAATCGATGGAGTTTTTTAAGAGATTACACTAACCTTTTTCGCTATTCACTTCCAACCAACTCCAGTATCTTTGCCCATGAGATATGGATGTATTTTTTAATTGAATAAGACAATTTTCCATGGGTAAAATTGGTATTTTTGAGAAATTTAAATTGTTGATGAAGGAAAAATTGTTGTTGATCGGTGTTAACTGTTGACGGATGGTGGAATATGATACAAAATTTTGTCTTTCAAACAAGAAGGGAGATCTGAGCAATTGTACAAACATCAGGGAGGTCACTGTAATTTACCCATAATAATAAGGAAAGGCTTGAAGAAAGAGATGTACTTGAAATAGAAGACATGTATCTTTTAATTTAAATTAAGAATTGGAAAGATAATTTTTTGTAAATTGAATGTTTTTATAGAACCACATCAATGAATTGGAAAATAGTAAATAATAATTAAAACTATAGTGAGATCAACATGAAATCTGATTGGGCCAATTCTACATAAAGTCCTAGGGAATTATCTAAACTATTTAGTGATTGAGCTGGCACTTTGCCATGTTGCAGATTTGTAGAAAAGTACAAGTTTCTCAATTGGAATTGATTTTTAATCTTCCAAAAGTTATCGAAAAGCTTCTTAATTGATCTCACATAATTCTAAAATTATAGATAGAGTTTTAAGGGTCTTAAAACCATAAGGGAATAAGAATTATAAATATAAGAGAGAAAATTTAGAGAATTTGTTAGGATTAGAACTTCGCGTTGACAAATTTCGTAAAAGTTAGTTTAGTTAGTTTGGTAGTGGTGGTGGTACACATCTCCAAGCGAGATTCAGAATTTGAAGATATATCAAAGGGAAAAAAAGGTAGAATCACTTTTTGAATAATTATCTCACCAACTAGGATTCATAATCATGCTTTCTTATCATGACTCATTTTCAAGCACAATGCATATATGTTTTGAATGCACAATTTTTTTGAAATAAATACATTTGAGCAGGAAATTTGTACAAAAACAGTAAGCCTTGCATGATGTGTCAATTGACAGATCGAAGTAGTAAGGGTTTAGTTCTTGAAACTTCTCAAAATAAGAATTTTAAAGGTTTAGTTTTCATTTTAAATTAATGCTCTGTTTGGTAGGATGGAAGAAATTTGGATGGAAGGGAGAGAAGAAAAGATAAATGAAACATCCCTAGAGAAGAGATTGTGTCCTTCCCTCTTTTTGTCTGGTTGGATGAAAGAGGAGAGAATAGGACAATACCTTATTTTGTTTGTTAGGAGAGAAGAAAAGGGAAAGTGTCCTTAATTATAAGTAGAGTTTTGTAATTTAAAAACATTTATAATAGCCTTGCCTTTCTTCCTTCGTATCTTCCGCCTATATTTGAAGGGATAAAAATTTGTGAAGGAGGAAGGATGACTCATCCATTCTCTTTTCTCTTCTCTCCTTTCCTCCTCTCTACCAAACGATTGAAGTTTGTCTCTTCCTTCCTATCTTCTATCCACCCCTCTTCCTTCCTTCCTATCAAACGAAGCATAAGAAACCCTAATTCCTTTGGATTCAAAGCCCTGTATAAGAAGAACACCTCTATGCTTTCATAACATATATACATATAGATAGAGAGATATTGAGGCACCTCATAAAGAGAGCATATAAAGAGACCATATATTTTTTAGAGAGCATCTTTTTCTTTTCAGTGTCAGCATGTTGCATTAGATAATTAGTTATTATTTAGACTGTTGATCATCATAATTTTCATGCTGCGTGGAGAATTCAACACCAAAGTGTCTCTACACAACTAACACAACTTGTGATGACCAGCTGAGGATATTGAAGTAGTTGAGGAAAAGCAGATTACATGAGTAGCAGAATCTGTTCCCAATCAGTTCTAAGTTGTCAACTTCGATAAGAAAATTGTTTTTCAAGCTGATTTTGTTTTCAATTCCTATTCAAACACTAAGAGACATCCTTTAATGTTTTTACACGACTTCTTTAGTAATTTGAAGGACTCTAATTATAATTATTTAGCTTTGATAAATTTTATTAAAAAGAGCTATTATCGAGCATTTTATGAGTTTTTGAAAGAAACAAGTTGATATTTTTCTTAGTTTTGATTCTTTGATTTGAGCACACATTCACGTTGAGTTTTTAGTGTTGTTCGCTTTTCTCATCATCGGTATTATGAATGTTGCTATGTATTAGAGAAACATGTTTCATTTTGTATGGAAGAAAAAATGCAATTGATCACTAAGAGAAACTGATCATCGCGAGGTAATTGCTTTAGAGTGGATTAGTGTTGCTGGTGGTTTTTAAGGCACTGGAGTTGGAGAACACCGAGCATCTGAAGTAAATCAATAGCAGGTCATTCCAAAGGCACTGGAATTGGCAGCCTGTGGAGAGTAGCTCCGTGGTTTTTTTTGGGTGAAGTTTTTCATGTAAAAGATCCTGTTCTTTCCTTTACTTGCTTTCCTTAATTGTTTGTTTGTGATTGGTCTGGATCTAAATTATTTGTGATTGATCTTGTTCTATAATTTTTTACAAAGAAATGGCGGTAGTGGTGGATGGCGGTGACAATGATGGTGGAGGTGAAGGCGGCAGTGGTGTAGGTGGTGGTGTTGGAAGGCGGCGGTGGAGGAAGCCACTGGTGGTGGTGGAAGGCGGTGGCGATAGTTGAAGGCGGTGCAGGTGGCGGTGGTGGAAGACGATGGTGGCGGCGATGGTGGTTTGTGGTGGCTATAGTGGTGGTGGAAGGCAGTGGCCAAACGCAATATTAATGACTTCTACTTAGCTCTTCTGTTAGTAGGATAGTCTTGTTACGCAACTCATGTAGCATAGGGCAAATATGATTTTCCTGTATAGAAATTTCCTATAAAGTTGAAAAAATAGGGTAAGCACATTTTTTAGTTGAAAAAAAAAAATCAAATTGGTTTTTACGTGAAAGCTGTTTACCGCCCCCTTTTGATATAGTTGTTAAAATGCGTGTATACATGTTTGTATACATGTGCATTGGGAAGAAGAAACAAGCAAAACAAACGGACCATTTTTTCTTGAACTTGTAAGCGACATTAAAATGTATTACACTGCGTAGTGTTGGGCATCTTACTAATGATGGTTTTTTGGAGTCTTAAAATGGTCTTGATTGAAATGTAAATATAGTTTCAGAATTCAGTGGAGCCTCATTATATCATAGTAAAGGTTTATTGATTGAAAAAAATGGGACGTGTGCAAGATGTTTGAAAATTTCGAGTTGTTGGTGCTAGTGAAGGTATTTATGAGCGAGAGGATGGCTGTGAAGGACATGAATATAGCTAACTTTGCAACATGGTCCAGGTTGGTTTTCATGTGGTTATTACAAGTTAGGTATCTGTAAAAAAATGGAATTTTTGTCGAGCATGCATTCAGAAATTTCTGTCTGGAGGGATGGAGTAGGTACATTCCTAACTTTTGTTCATATTTACATCGTGTTCTTACTGGTTGGATTCATTAAATTACGAGGATGCCATTACACCTTTTAATATTAGGTCCATTTGGGCAACAACCACCTTTTATAGGAAAATCAGAGGAATGGTTCCATGTATGGTGACGTGACCATTGCTTAGATAGGGAATACATATGCTGATTGGAATCCTAAATTTGAGCTTTGGGCCTCATTCCAATCATGAAGCCATTTTATTTCAATGAAGTTTGTCTAGTTATAATTTTCTATATCTAAAAGTAGGAAATATTTATATTTACAATAGTAATGCTGATTCACAGTAGTTGCTTGTTTTGATTGAGCTTGTTTCTGGCTTTATTTGGTGTTGGTTGGGTTATGCTGTTTTCTAGGGAAAGTATGATTGGAGCTTTGGAGAGGATCTACAATGGGGAGGCAAGCCTGAGATGCTTGGAGGGTTGTTCCTCCTTGCTTGTGGTGGGGTCATTGGTGTCAGAGAAATATGAGATCTTTTGAAGGGGAGGAGACTTCTATATGGGCACTCAGATTCTCTATTCTTATTTATTTTATTTTATTTTGGGTTAATTGTTGAAATTGTAATTCTGGGAGGATATGATGGTTTTTGTGGATTGTGGCGACCTTGTAGGCGGGTGTGTGTGAGCATGTGTAGTTGGCACCAATAGGTTACCACACTGGGCGAGCTACAGGTGCACAATCCCACATTGCCTGGGTATGGATGGGGCAAGTTCTATATGTAGATTTAACACTTTTCTATGACATAACGCTTTTTAAAGTCGTGAACCCCCCAGAACTCCAGAGTTAAGCGTGCTTAACCTGGAGTAGTACCAGGATGGGTGACCCCTGGAAAGTTACTGGTCCGGGGGAGCCAAAAGCGGATAATATTGTGTCTGGATAGGGTGATGGTTGTTACAAGTGGTATCAGAGCCTAACCCAACTAGAAGTGTGGCCAACGAGGATGTTGGGCCCTAAAAGGGGGGTGATTGTGGCGACCTTGTGGGCGGGTGTGTGTGAGCGTGTGCAGGTGGCACCAGTAGGCTACTACACTAGACGAGTTACAGGTGCACAATCCCATATTGCCTGGGTGTGGATGGATTAGTGCTATATGTAGATTCAACACCTTTCTATGACACAACACGTTTTAAAGCCGTTATGGCCGTGAACCCTCCAGAATTCCAGAGTTAAGCGTGCTTAACTTGAAGTAGTATCAGGATGGGTGAATTCTTGGGAAGTCTCTGGTTCGGGGGAGCCAAAAGCGGACAATATTGTGTCTGGGTAGGGTGAGGGTTGTTACATGCATAGCTTGAGGGTATAGCTTTGTTTGCCTTTTGAGCTTTGTATATGTGATATGATCTCCTTTTGAGCACTTTTTAGACAATCGTTTCTTATCCCCCCACCCAAAAAAAAAAAAAAGGAAAAAGGAAAAAAGAAAAGAAAAGGGTAATACTAGTTCACAATATTATGGCCAGAACAATTTTTGCAACCTTCGTGACTAATGAGTTATTTGAGTCATGATTGTTGAAACTTGCTCATAACAGATTGGTTCAGGTGGAACCTCTGCTGGTATTCTAAACATAATCTTCAACTGAATCATGAAACTATATTCGAGTGGAAACTTTGGAGTTATACTCAAATATAACAAGTGTGCAGTGTACTAGCAAACAATAGAGAACTCTCCATGAGTTTCTTTATGTAAGTTCAAAAGGGAAGGTTCCCTATACCCAATTGATGTGGGATGGTCTCGAAGAATGTGGCGATTAGATGAGCTCAATAGAGGATTAATTGTAAACTAGAAGGCTTTCGCTTCTTCGCTGGCTTTCTGATTTATACCATAAACCTAAGAAATATAATCAAGTCAAACTAACTGGATTTGTGTCCTTTCTACCCTCGCTCTACTTGGCATGCTCTATCCCACTTCAAAGGAGAAGTATTCTCTGTTAGTCCTCTATCTTTTGTATTTTAATCACACCTAATATCCCTCTGGAAATTTGGGCTGCACCATATTTTGCCAATAGCTTCTTGTAAGTTATATCTTATGAGTTTATGTGTGACATGTGTCAAGCTGTTAGCCCTCTATCTTTTGTATTTTAATCACACCCAATTTCCCTCTGGAAAATTGGGCTGCACCTTATTTTGCCAATAGCTTCTTGTAAGTTATATCTTACGAGTTTATGTGTGACATGTGTCAAGCTGCAATCCCATGCTGAGTAATGAAGTGGTCGTCTTGCCTTGTGTTAATGTGAAATTTATTGCAACAATGTCATGAAGTGGATTTGTCTAATATTTCTCTTATCATATATGAATCTTCTTTCCCTTTGGATTATGCATAATGGTGACATCTTCTTTGTAGGGTCGATACGAGATCATCTCTTTATCAGGTTCCTACTTGCTGACTGAAAGTAATGGTAATCGCAGCAGAACAGGTGGTCTGAGTGTGTCCTTGGCAGGGTCAGATGGTCGAGTTTTGGGTGGTGGAGTTGCAGGAATGCTAACAGCAGCATCACCAGTACAGGTCTTTGTTATGCTGATATTTGCCTCTCTTCCTCTTGGTTTGTGTGTTAGGACATTCATTGTCAAATTAGAAACTAAATATAAGTATGCACATTTAAGAAACAAATGTAAGTGGATTTTTCAAGTCACTAAATGTGTCTAAACAAGTTTCCATCATTTCTGGTCTTGTTAGGGATATATTGTATATCTTCTTTGTATTTTAATTCTGAACCATGTTTTATGTTTTACTAGGTTATTGTCGGTAGCTTCATTGCGGATGGAAAAAAACCAAAATCGGCGCTTTCTTCTGCATCACCACCCAATATGCTGAATTACGGTACACCAGTGGCAGCAGCTAGTCCTCCCTCCCAAGGGGCCTCAAGTGAGTCATCTGATGATAGCGGTAGCAGTCCCCTTAACCAGGGGGTGTCGGGGCTCTTCAATAATGCTAGCCAACCCATTCACAATATGCCCATGTATTCAAACATGGGCTGGGCAAACTCAACAGTGAAGATGCTTCCTAATTGACGGTACATTTGTTTAGATTATTGGCTTAGTTGATGCTTCGTGTGGAGTCTCAGGTTGATTGCAAAGCTAACATGCAATTTCACAGCTCCTTGTTTCTCTTGAAGACCCCAGTCCCCTTAGCATTTTCATCGAGTAGGTTCACTTGTTCACTCCCTTATGTCTAAACATGGCTAATTTGTTGAAAGTAGAGGGCATGCTTTCTTCCCCAATGCCTATTTCTTAGGATCTTTTGGTTTATATAATGCTTGGGCGTTTTCTTTTTCCTGTTACGAGACCTGACATTACTTGTAAACTTGCTTTAGGAATTATGAACTGTATTGAAGCCTTAAGTAGATTGGAGGAGTGGATTTTCGTTACAATTAGTCTCTCTTGTTTTAAACCAAATCTATACTGAACTTTACTTTCACCTTGCCCTTCTTGACCTTTGAGTAGCATATCCTGCTTGCAAAGCAAGTTCTGTTCGGTGCAGATTTAAACGAAAACTGGCACGCCATTTTAATGCTTCAAGAACCGGTAAGTTACCCGGGTTAAGACATTATGTGAAACATACTTGCAGAGTGATGTGCACACTATTGAATCTTTAAGTAGTCTTTCATTTGAGGAACTAAGAGAGGTCTTGGCTTTCTAAAGAGCATGATTTTTGTAGGTTATGATATTAGCTTACAGGTTAAAGACTATTACAGACCTATGGCTTGTGTTTGTGAGTTTATATCCACATTAATATTTAGAAAAGAAATTCACAGTTTGTGGTGGGACAACTTTGGACAGAAATGGCTACTCAAGGAAAACAAAGACGGCATCGCCGGAAGTTGTGAGAGGTCATTCTTAACCTGAGAAATGGCTACTCTGTCGTCCCTTCATTTAAACAATGGAAAAAATTGTGAGCACTTGAATTTGGATCCTCTCTTGTGCTGTTTTAATCTCGTGTTTGTCCTGTGCTTTTACGTCGCTAACACAATCTTTACAAATCATGTTACATTGTTGTTTTATGATGTTGCATTTCGTGATGTAACAGTTTGCATTACGATGTAATGTGTTGCATTATTGATACAGAATGAGTGCACCAGATCTCCTACAATGGATTTCTTCCAAGCGTGTAGGGGATCCGGTTCAGCACACCTAAAAAGTTGTTGGATTTATATCTGGATTTCAATTTATACTGAGAGCGACCTTGTGACAAAATTTCAAAAGAAAAACTCATTTATGGACAACAATAACAAGAACACAACAATCACAACACAAACACTAGCGACAACAACAATAATAAGAGACCAATTATAATACGAATGAAATTTGAAACTCATCAATTAGTACAATATTTTTCAGTAAGTACTCTATGACAAATCACATGTCAGAGCAATGTAATGGTGTTTAGGAGTTGACCTAACAAGATAGTACTACATTTGATTGGTGCTTGAAGAATGCCTCATGGAACCTTCATCATTCCTCATAACAAATGTTTCATTAATTTCTTTTTCATTTTTAAAAATTTGTTCACTTTAGACTCGTAACTGAATTGATATTAGAATTTAGAAGCCACTAATAAATATATACAGTTGAACTATTTATTATTATTATTATTTTTTTATTATAGGTGTCGGGTCTCTTAAAACACCTTATATAATTCATCAGCGGAGCATATTCAGTTAATTCTCTCTCTTTCCCTCCCCCAACCCTAAATAATAGAGTTAAACATCACATGTTCTTAAAAACAGTTCTTTGGAACGGAACTCTCATTAATAAATACATATAGGTCCCTCTTATTTATGTATGTATGCATAATCTTCCATACATAAATCAAATATATGAAACTTACGTCATGATTCAAGTTTCATTTCCTGTTAATAAAACAAAGTACTTTCACCAATGTTATTTTATTTATTTATTTATAAAATGATAAAGAGAGAACATCTCGATAGTCTAATAGATTAATATTTCCATAAACTTTGGAGTAATATCTAACACTTACACCAAAGGGCCTTTGGCTCAATGGTATAACCTTCCTATCTTCAAAGAAGAAAGGAGGGGTTCGAGCCCTCGCGTGGGTAAAAAAAATGTGTGTGTTCGCTTTATCCGGTACCCATTTGTCCCGGTAATTTTTTATTTTTATTTTTTTCTTAAGAAGAAGTTCACATATCCATTGCGTGAACCTTCCATATTCAATTGAAAATATACTATTAAGTTAAAAAAACAATAATATTATTATTGAGAGATTAAAAACTAACAAGCAGTAATATGACCTTTTGAAATATATATATATATATATATATATATATATATATATATATATGGAATAATTCTATAAAAATGGGTTATGGTCGTCAAATGCGAAATTGATGGACTCAAATATTCTATTTCCAAAACATTGGAATTTGTTTTGATTACAAAACTACTCCTCAACTGTCTTGGGAAATAATCATATTACCCTTTCAACAACTTTACTAATTAACCGAACCCGGATCATCGGAAAAGCCACCCTGTTCGCCGGCAGCGTCTTCATCGTCGATCGAATCTCCCGTCACTATCTCCGCCGCCCAATCGCAGCCCTTAATACATCACCAACACAACACCTTCCTCGTCGAAAGACACCGCGGCCAAATTATCCTCTTCACCAATTATAGACTCATTATGCCAGCAGTGGCCAGCGTAGAGAGAGAAAGTTAGAGAGAGAGTTTGTGTGTGAGAACGCCATGGCAGGAGGAGATCAGAAGCCTAAACCTCACGCGGTGTGCATGCCGAACCCAACACAGGGTCACCGGATACAATGCTCGTCGACGGTGGATTTCTTATAATGCTCGTCGGAATGGACCGAAGCTCACCGGAGCGGGGTTTTTATTTCACCGGATACAATGGTTGGAATGAAGCTATGCCGAAAACAATGGAAGCTACTGGGTCTGTGACGATACCCGGACTGAGTATGGTTCGTCGACACTTGGAGCTCGTCGGTGCTTCGCCGCCGCTTGGGAACTCACATGTGTGGAATGGGAACTCACGTGTGTGCTTTGTCGCCGGTTCAATCCGAGAGTCGAGCTTAATCGGAGGGTTGCCGGGGAGGTGGAGGACGCCCTCGACGAAGCAGCCATTTTTGCCGAGGACTGCTAGGGCAAATCGGCGGCGTTGGAAGTCATAGAAGATCCGCGCGTTGTTGTGCGAGATGAACATGCCGTCGCCGAGGGTGGAGATGTTCGCGAAGCCCGCTCAGTCCTCTCTCTCCACTGTCTTCGCACTCTCGATCTGTCTCAAAACTACCTCACCGGTTCAATCCCGATTCAGCTCAACTTCTGGACCGGCTTAACTATCTCCGGCTCAACAATAAAAGGGGCAATTTGGGAATAAAAATACAATGTATAGTGATTTTCCATGATTTTGGCAATTAACTCCATTAATCCATTTTTTTGGAAAGAGAATATTTGACTCCATCAATTTAACATTTGACCACCATAATCCCATTTTTATGAAATTATCTCTCTCTATATCTATATATTCTTATTTATGTGATAATAAATAATTGATTAATGATACTATTTATGTGGTATCATTGGTGCACTGGATTGTACTTACGGTATGAAACACTAACTTATTTATGTGATGATAAATAATTGATTAATGATACTATTTATGTGGTATCATTGGGGCACTGGATTGTATTTTCGGTGTGAAACACTGATTTTTTTTTAAAATTTATTTATAGGATACGTATTGACTCTACAACACACACCATTTAAATTAGGATTGCGATTCCAAAGTGAGATACTTACCTTCCAAATTTTTGTCGAATTACGATTCAAAAACGACATTTCAAAAATTTATTTTCCAAATTTCTGCCGACGCTCTACGCGGTGAAGCAGACGTGTCAAACACAATTAGGAATGAAATTAGAAGCACTCTCAATTCTTCTAATCGCAATGACTAATAATGTTATACCGACATTTGTCGGTATTACCAAATTCAATCTACACACGTGTATATCTATTTGCTATATCGACAGTCACCGTCACCGACATGCATCGTCAGGCCTCTTTATGTGTAAAGCCTGTGGTATCCATACAATTGACGAACGCTTCTTAGTACAAGTAGTATAATGTTATTTATTCAACATAACTGTCATAACTACTATATATATATATATATATATATATATTTATTTATTTATATATATATATATATATATATATTTATTTATTTATTTAGAAAGAATTAAAGATTCTTTTTGAGAATAAAACTTTGATTTGGTGAAAACAGAATTTGTCTGAAATCGAATTCTATGAAAAATTAAGAAAATGTTAAAAAAATTAGAACCCCGTAAACTTTATTATTGTGAAGATTGAGTTTAAGTTTCACCGGCTACTTTTAAGACAATCTACTTTGGGCCTGTTTTGATTAGTTTAAGAAAAGCAACTTTTGACTTTTTGGGCCTAAAAATTATTTTGAGCAATGCACGCTTTTCTAAAAAGACACGAGAAACTGAATTATTGAATTATTGTTTTAATGAAACTTTTTAAATTTCAAGAGTACCATTTTTATTCTTTAAAAAAAATATAGAATTTCAAGCGTATCCCTATATAAGACCCACTTATTTTCTTCCCAACCCAAATCCTAGTACATATCAAGGCTCTCGCATGAATTCAGAGAGATAACTTTGGGAAACCAACGGTTCCTGCTTATCCAACAACGGTCATTGGCGATTTCATACTAATCACCATCTAATTATGCAACTAAGATTGAAATGGTACCACCGTCATATCTGATGCCACACAGATACTTGATCTTTTATGTTTGTATTTTATTTTTTTATTTTTTATCTATAAGCTTGTGATTCCATCCAGTTAGTTTTGCTGGTAGATAATGAGGGAATAATTTCCTTCACAGATGGCCAAAACTCTCTCTAACAGGACGAAAATCAAGCAGATCTAATGGTTTAAAGAAAATTTGGGGACTATAGAAGCAACACTTGCCCAGGGGATTTAAATTATGGACGCAAAAAATTATTGGTTATGGCATGAATGTCAAAAAGAAAAGAAAAATTATATATATATATATATATATATATATCCTGACTGGTGTTTTTAGGTTAATGGGTATACGTTTTCTTTTGAGTTATGATGAGAATTTCTTTGGTGCGTGTTTCTTTCCAATTGCTATTTATCAATCTCTGTACAGTGTACTCTCTGTGTTGTTAATCTGTCTATTCATTTTATTTCATTTTATATTAATCTTTTATCAAACAATCAGTATGAATAAAGTCTATTCTTTTATGTGCGAATTTCACATTTATTTTTTGTGATTCACTGCGTTTACTAGGTATTTTACCACTTAATAATAATTCATTGGTTATTTTAAATTAGATGGCAACGAGGAAAAAAAAAGGATAAAACAAAAATAAGGATTATGTACCCAATCAAGAAATAGAATGATTTATTCATATGGTACTTAAGAAATAGTTGTTCACTCTATTTAAGGATAAAATAGGTATTTCAATAGGAGAAGAACTTCAATAAATGTTTTTCCAAACATACCTAAAAAATTGTTATGATATAAAAAGTTATTATAAATACATGTTCCAAACACTGATCAGAAGCCAAATGGAAGTGATAACCTCTGCTTCTCTTTTTCTTTTATGTAAAGCAGAAGCCGAAGTTATGCCAAACGGGTTATTTGTAAATAATGAACTCTCTTTTGCAGTAAATAATGAACTCTTTTGCAGGTGCTAGTAGGATTGTAAATGCACCAAACTGAGTCAAGCTTCATTTTGTTCGAGCTCGGCTCGTTTGATTGTGATCTCAGATCAAAATCGTGACGAATTCACTCATCATTATCTTGAGAAGTTTGGACTCATCTCTTCTAATAACAAAATTCATCCAGGCTCGGTTTGGACTCGAATTCAAGATTACTTTGTCTTGTTCGTGAACGTATACGAGCCCAAATGAGTCTTGGTCATGAACTTATACAAGCATATATGTATGAACGTGTTCATGAATCTATACAAGTCCTACGCAAACCTATGCTTACGAATGTGTACGAGCCTACACAAGTTCATGTTCACGAGTTGAGGTCAATATGAGCTCGTCTACTAAACAATTCTCGAAATCGAGCTTGAGTTTGACTTATTTGCTTAACAAATAAATCTGAGATGGGCTTTAGATGATCGAGCCTGAACTGTTTATAAACAACTTGATTCATTTACAATAATAAAAAAAAGAAGTTGTTTAAATAACTACAAACTCATCAACTAGATTAAATAAGATTTGTAAGTATTTTAAATGTTTCATCCCACTTACATTGTCAAATGACCAAATAAATTTAAATATTTCTTGCACATTGTAAATTCTATATTTGAATATAATTTTTGTTGCGGTTGAAAGTACTTTTCAACATGCACTTTAAATATGATATTAAAAAAAATTTAGTTCAAAGTTTGAATTGAATTTTCTATCTCTAAAAACCGGTACTCTCAAATATAGTGTCAAAGATATGCTAAACAATACCACATTTCAAATGCATATAAACATTAGATTACCCTTTATTAATTGCATATACAAATAAGAAAAGAGAGGGCAAAAATAAAGTTAAAAATACTTATATAAATTATTAGGTCTTAGGATTGATTTTTTCTAAGTGTAAACAATCCTTTAAAAATTATATTCGCAGACATAATCAGAGTTTTATGGAATCTAATACAATACATAATTATTTGAACATGAGTAGCATGCAGGTTAGCAATGTATCAACCTTCCACGCACTTTCTGGTCATTAATTTAGCTTAAAAGTCAATGCTCAACCTCATACCACTACTAGTGAGCTTATTCAAAATCTCGCTGTAAAGAAACGGATTAAGAATGTGTTCGATTGCATGGAATTAGAGTCTTAAAATTTTATAACTTTTTCACTTGGCGCATTCCAACTCCTAATACCTTAAAGATTCTATTAAGCTCCTAAAGCTCTGGCCAACAAGACCACAACTTTTAAATAGCATAATTAAACATAGAATATAACATTTGTATGATCTTATGCGTTAATCAGGTATTCATAAATCAAGATTATACATGACAGTATATTTTACACAAAAAAAATATTTTAACGGACTGCTGGAGAACCCTTAGGGTAGGGGTTAGGAGCAAGTTGTTAGCATAAGATGGATTTTAGTAGCTATGATATAGTTAGTTTTGGAGGAGGCTTGAAGAGTTTGGTCAGCTGTTTTGAGTGTATAATTGTACTACTGTCATTGTAAGGGTTTAGCATCTCTCAAACATCAATACAATTTCTTTCAATCATGTTTCCTAGTTAAACTTAATTCCTCTAGTTTAATTTGGTTCTCATAGTTTAATTCAACTTTCCTTTTGTTAATTATTCTAATTTAATACAACTTCCTTTATTTGTTATTCCCTTTTATTTGCATTCCTTTTGCAGTATAATATCAATTCCCATATTTTTCAGATTCTTGCAAATTCAATTCACGTTAATTCATTACCAATAGCTACTTTGGGTTTTATTTCAATCTCAGTTTCCACTTTAATTCAAATTTCAATTTCATTACAATTCCTAAAAAGGCAATTGAACCCATTAAAGAAAGTTCAAAATTGTCTTTCTACAATAGCATGGTCTACTATTTTTCCAAAAGGGACTGTGTTGACTTGCTTTACACTAGTCAAACCAATCACATTGGTTCTGGCACGGTCGCATTAGCCAATTTCTAAATCCGTAGAATTTAAAGGGTCTAAAACCAACAAAAAATCCAACATAAAAAACAGATCAAGATAGAGAAAATGAGATTTCGGATCACGAAAACTTTCATGACCAACCACAAGATAAAGGTAGTGGATTTTTTTTTATTGGATCGTTTCGACCCAAATTCACACCTTTCTGGTAAAATACGCATTTGTCAAACTGTTCAGAATTCAGCCCTGCATCATTTTGCGCATACACCAATGACTAGATCATTTTTTAAAATTAGTAAAATGGGTATTTTTTTTTTTTTTTTGAATTTTGAAAGCAGTAAACAATATCTTTCAGCCGGATCTCTATAAAGAATGCAAATAATGTAATAAAGACAAATTGATTTTGGTGATTTCTTTCTTCCTCAACTAAGGAGAGAATCAATTAATATTTTATTTATATATAAATAAACATATTAATATATAGGTAATCTTATTTCACAAAAAAGAAAAGATATCTACTTAAAATAAAAGATTACAAAAAAGTCAAATATATTACAAGATAAACTTGTTAACAATCTCACCTATAAACGTGTGAGGTGTGTATAAAGCGTTTTTAAAGCTGTAAATGGTCCCCATTTTTCTTGGTGGGCTGTATATACAGTACACCCTCACTCATTAGCCGTTTGCTGGCCTCCAATTCAATCACTAACCAACAAACCCATAAGAAACTTCACTACAAACCACAAATCATATATATATATATATATATATACACACTCACATGTCCTAGACTTGTTACATTGTCTTCGCTATAAACTCTCTGATGAACTGCTTGGTGTTGCCGGTGTCAATATTGAGAAGGCGGTACTCCGGGTCACGGCTAGGCTACCGGCCGCTAACGGAAGAGTCGGAAGATCCGGTGACCGTGGTGGTTGGGAAGGAGAAGAGAGAGTTCTTGGTGGACCCTTTCGTCTTAGAAGAAAGCCCTTTTCGGGTTTTGATCGATTTGGCGAAGAATGAAGAGAAGGGAAGAATGTTTGTGCATGGAGTGAAAAGAAAGATTTTTGTGGATGTGGATGCAATTTTGTTTGAGCACATGTTGTGGTTGTTGCACAATGACTCTTCTTCATTGTTTCAGCTCAATCTCACAGAGATCATTGATTTCTATTCTCAGGAGAATTGAGTGTTAACAAAGAAGAGAAAGGTACTTGTTCAATTTACATATTCATTGTAGTTTATATTGTCCCCTTTTTGTAAAAGAACATACATTATTGTATAGAGTATTATCTATAAAGTTTATGAATGTATATGTCAATATATATAAACATGAGTTTCTTTATGTTGCCAAGAAGTATGGATGCGGACAAGAAAGTACATGTTAAGTCCCCAAAAAAAAAAAAAAAAAAAAAAAATTTATAATAATAAAATTTATAACAAATTTTGTTTTAAGAGAGAGGACTAATTATAGAATATATCTATATTTTATTACTTTAAAAAAACTTCTCTCTACCTTTATTTTAGTAGGTCCTATCATTACGTGTCAGTTTAGTATATAGAAGTTTTTCTTACACAATAGGGTATATAGAACAAACCAACATAGAACATGCCAACATATATATAAATTAATTGAATTTCTAATTGTTTGCTTGATTAGTTGTAACTTGGACAATATAAAATAGGAAACACATTTTTTTTTGCTTCTTAATCCATATATATATATATATATATATATATATATATATATTTCCTGCTCTGAAGAAGTAATTTTGGGTTTTTGCTTTTCGTTGCTTTATATCTATTATATACGAGTATATAGAAGATGAATTGGTCACTAACATTGAACTATTTCAGGGGTCTATATATATTGGGATCACTTTCGAAGGTGCGAGTGTAAAACTTGGTCAGGTGGTTTAAAATTCTTAGCCCAATGTACAATAACCACAACTGAGCCCGAACTCAATTTTTTTTGAGCTTGATTTAAATTTGGGTTAGACTTAAGTTGGTAGATTGTGCATGAATTAGATTCGAAGTTGTTAGGTTAGTCTAAGGTGATGGTGATGATGTTGGTGAAAATAATGATGATGGGTCTCTTGTTGGTAGAGTATGAAACTTGGAGATAATGATAGAGATATTTAAGGGTATTGTGCCCATCTTCAACTGTTCATTGTTTGTTACTTCTTAAATTCGTTTATTGGCTGCGTGAGTTTTAAAAGTTAATAATGCCTTTATATTATAATAAGGGAGATAATATAATTTGTATTACAATTTTAAATAAAATGGCAATTTTAACTTTAATTTTACAAGTAAATAATTATTACTTTTTAAATAATACAACTGTACTTTCATATTTTATCTGCTTATTTCTAATCTTTAATACTTTAAGTATCTTTTGACAACACAAATAAAATAAAATAAAAATTGAATAAATTTTTTTTTAAGGGACCAAAAAAAAAAAAAAATATATATATATATATATATATATATATATATTTTGTTATGTTGAATAAATTGTCTCTTTTGCCCCGATAAAAAAATAAAAAGTAACCATTTAAAAAATTATCTCTTTTGACGTGAAAAAAAATCCCAAAAATATATATTTATTAATAATTAAAAGTACAAAAGCAAGATGATTAAAATAAATTATCTCCATTGAATAAATTATCTCATTTCCTTTTAAAAAAATGATAAATGGAGTGTAATTGGAGAAAAGTGGAGTGCGAATATCAAATCTCATAAGTTGTCAGTATAATTTATTCAAAATTTAATGCCCAAAAGTATCTCATGTATATAAATAATATCATATTGTGTTAAAAACATGAAACACCTACTAACTTGAGGCTAAAACATGCTTTCAAATGAAAGATGTTGTTAAGTTGTAAATGTTACTATGATTGAAGACTTTTATGTGTTAAAAGTCAATAATTTCCTTATATTATATTAATATATTAAATTGTAAATATTTGTTAATATGAAAATTCACATGACTCGTGTGTAATTTGTCCAAATTTTAGAGAACATCAATATAATTTATTTTATTGTCATTTTGTACAAGACAATGGTAAAATTATCATTTTATAAAATTTGGTCAACAAGCATGCTGGAAAGAAAATGCTAAGGATGTCGTTAAGCGCACACATTAAAATTTAAAAAAAGTTGAGTAACAAACGTTGAATGGTCTACTGTGTGTAATTTGTTCAAACCTCAAAGATTATCAGTGTAATTTATTCAAAATTTAATACCCAAAATTATTTCTCTCTCTCTCACACACACACATATATATAATATCACATTGTGTTAAAGCCATGATAAATTTATCAACTTGAGACAAAGACATGCTTTCAATGAAGGCGCATTCGTCTTCCACACTTTATTTAAGCGATGTTGTTAAGTTGTAAAAGTATAGGTAGGATTTAATAGTCTTCAAGAGGACGCGCTCAAAGTCAATGCAAATCTATGAAGGAAGAAGATGATTTCAAATCAAACAATGATGGTATTGAATGGAAGATTCAGCTGAAAAGTGAACATGAATAAGAGCGTTATTTTCTTATATTTTAACACACATACAAGACTCTTATCTATTGATTTAAAAAGAATTCTTGACAAAAGTCATGAATTCTTAATTATTTGATCATGGTTGTATCGGTTGGTTCGTAATCCTATTTTAAGGATATGATATCATTACACGTTTTCATGAATTGGCCAATTCGATCGATTTATTCCGATATTTGTCCGAGTCCATTACACCGCAACTGATGCCGTAATTACGAATCATACTTAAAATATAATCAAATAAAAGTGCATTTTGAAATAATCATGACCTTCACAAATTAAACAACGGTTATATGTTATATGATAAATTTCAAACTTGGGAAAAAAATTATAATATTTCATTCACCCAAAATTTCATCGGATCGAAATTAGAGATGAACTAAAAAACGTTATTATATATATATTTTTAACCCAAGTTCAATTTAATCAATAAAAAGTGAACTTGTTTAATCATGATGTATGTTAAAAAAAATAAAAAAATTCATGATGTTACATTGGGGTTGTTAAATTGAGATTGTCCATCTAAATTGCATTCCTATTCATATCTATAAGTTGTTGGGTTGGGGGTTTGATCACATCAGCCTCCAACTTTTTCCTTGAGCATTCTTGCAATTAATTCAAAATGATGATGGAATTGACTTTGATTTCCAATATTTCAATACAAATAGACATCGATAACCATATGGTTCATATCTAACTAGAAAATCAATGTATCTAGGTTGTAAAGTAATTGTGAATTTTTTTTAATACACTTATCTAATGAACAATTCAATATTTTCTTAGTGGTACTTTCTCGCATTTGAAAGTAAAAATTACAAGAGTTTAAGTCCTTATAGAGTGTGTGAATATGTTTCTTGTTGAGTTTAAAAAAGAAGAAGAAGAAGTTGTTTTTTGTACATTATCTCATTGTTGAAAAAATACAGTGTTTGATAAAATTGAAAATTAAGTCGTGAAAATTTTATAAAATAAATTTTAAGTGTTGATTTTTTTCTTTTTTGAAAGGTAGTGTGGGAATTTTAAGTGATGATAAAACCTAAAAAAAAATTAATCAGTTTTTTTTTTTTTTTTTGTTTAACCGTAAATGATAAATAAAATTATTGTCACTTAATTTTTTTTTTTTTTTTTTACCACATTTTAAGTGGCACAATATTCAATTTTTTTTATCAAATGCATTTAATTGAATAACCATTTAATATGTTCATAATTAAGAGTTGAATTTAGATTATTAAACAGCGTCTAAGTCAATCATTAACTAAAATGATGAATTGAAAAAGTATTAAGTGATATAAATTAAAAAGTAATTAATTTATGGTTAAGTAAGGGATATGAATTTGTTGTATACTACATGTTGGTATAAAAACATGCTCGCATGAAAAACTAAAGGCCGACTCTTGGGCTGGCCCAAGAATTTGGACAGTCCTAACAGAAGGTAAGAAATGAAAAGTTCACAGCATATCCAGCCCAACCCGTATAAAATGAGATTGGGCTGGCCCAAGAATTTTCACAAGAACCCTTTCTATAAACCACACATGCTAATATATAATTCATGGTTCGCAGTATCGCTCATCACGGTTTATATGTTGGTATAAAAATAGACTCGCATGAAAAACTAGATTAGTGGCGGGCTTCCAAGTTCTCGGACAAATATGTCGCCTCCGCCGCAACGTGGACGAAGTGATGTATAAATAGTATCTCCTGAATGTAAAGAATTTCAACTTATGCAGCAAGCTAAACTTCTAAACATTGCAGTTTCCGCGATGAACATTCAATGAGCGAGACCCATAACGAAAATGAGACAAGGAGGCTCTATTGTCTCCATCAGGGCTTCTTGCAGCTCTATTTTAAGTTCTTTTGGACTTCTTTTGTATGCTATATGACATGTTCAGAAGATTACTTAAAGTGATTCAAAAGATTAGGACAACTCCATTCGGAAGTACCTACAACAGTTTACTTCCTTCATATTCTTGTAGCAGCCTTTACACTTGGACATAGAAGAAAAATCTTCTTAAATGACAAGAAGATCCTTTAAGTTCATTAATGAATCATCCCTCATTTTATAATACCACATATGCCCTTTTCATTATAAACTTTTTCTTTTTACCTTATTTACTTGATCTTTGTTGGGATTCAGAGGGCAGTTATCGGGACTTTTCATTATAGGTCCCTGAGCTCTTGGGGTGTTTTTAATAAATATATTTTTAAAATATTTTATTTCGGAGGTTTTTAAAAAAATATTTTTGGAAGATAAGAGATTTAATAATAGAAGGAAATAAAACTTGTATGCTTTGCTCGTTTGGAAGGAAGGAATGAAAATGTGTGGAATAAATTTTTTTTGTTCGGTAAAGATGATACAAAGAAAGAACGGATAATCAAAAGAATGTATTATCCTTCGTTCTTTACAAATTTTCATATGTCCAAAAATGGGTGGAAGAGAGATGAAGAAAAGTGGACTATTAGAGAAAGTTCAAATTAAACACTATACTACATTACAAAAGTTTTAAATTACAGTACTATCATCAATGAATTAGAATATTATAGATATTACTAGACATAATGGTAAAAATAATTTAAAACTTTATTTTTCCTTCTCTCATAACGAACATAATAAATTGTGAACTTATTCTCTTCTCCTGTCCAACCGAACAAAAAGAAGGAAAGACACAATATCTTCCTTAGGGCTGTTTCATCCATCCTTTCTTCTCCCCCTTTCATCTAATTTTTTTCTTTCCTACCAAACGGAGCATTAGGGAGGTTATAATATATAAGAAAATAAAAAATTTTGGGGCCTTCCTATTGGCGCCTAAGACTCTAGCCGGCCTTGCATAGAGCAACTCATCGTCATCCTTCTCATCATCATACATAGCGTACATAATTGCCGCTTCAAAAACCAAGAAATATTTGTGGGTTGTGCAGCAGAAGAGAATGTGGAAAGTTGAGTTTTAAAAATTGTTTTAGAGAGGGGGATTAATCACATGTTTCTTTATCCAATTTACTATATTGAAATTATCGGTTATTTAAACAATCACACATAAATTTAAAGCAAGTAAAGTTTAGAATGACACTGGATTTTAGTGAGGAAATCAATTGGAAAACCTCGATGTTTTGTGTGCTATTCCAAGCATAAAACGATCCACTATGTATGAGGCAAAGTACACTGAACTTTGACTCAGACTAAAATTCCTTCACTCTGTCAAGACTTAATCCGCTAAACGTCTTTGCGACTTCCCATTCAACAGTTCTTGACTTGAGACGTACTTATGCCTCGAACCTTGTAGAAGGATTGTTGGTAGATCAAAAACACTCCGCAAGCGTCTTAATCCCTTCATAGTGTGATCAGAAATTCTTCTTCTTTGAATTTGAATTTTTTGTGGAAGAAATAAAATCTGTTTTATCCAATCGTTGTAGATGTAATCTTCAATAGACTTGAACACGAGCAGGATTTGAAAAACACCATAATTCACTCATGTGTGTATGTTCTTAAAAATCTCACAAAAAGGCTCTTAATGAAAATCACAATTTTAATGAAAAAATCCACACAACCCTAAGTGAGAAAATATGTTTATATAGAATTTTGAAACCCTAATTGTACTTGGAAAATAAGTCTATTCCATGC